ATTCCGGGGTAGAATAGGTCTTCAGCAACCCATGCTTGCCGTAAAGGGTGACTATGCTTGTCGTAAGAGACGACTAACGGGATCGGGTGGTCAGGCTCTCTGACTTGGTTGATGCATGTCATCGATCCCAATTGCGTGGATCGATATTCATGATAGTAATCGGCGTTAAACAACAAACCAACTAACCAACTATTATCAGCAATTCGGGATAAACATTTACTCAATATTGAATTGCCTGGGGTTGATACATTTTTTAGCTCTGTGAATCCCATGACTGACAACATTTATTGATGCGTTGCCTCGAACAATATTTCCATCATATTGCTGTAACAAGCTTGGGTCTGTTGGTTGGTTGGTTGGTTGGTTGTTTAACGCCGCACTCAGCAGTATTCCAGCTATATGACGGCGGTCTGTAAATAATCGAGTCTGGACCAGACAATCCAGTGATTAATATCATGAACATCGATCCGAAAGCTTGGGGGTTCCCAAGATACTCTTCTGCGGCTACCTGTAGGTGTCGCCGTTCCGTGACGCCATGGTAAGTCTGACATCAATCTGCAACACGAGTGGCTGATATGTCCTCCAAGTCCAAGAGCGAGGAGTCCAAGAACCGTAGCTCCTAATTACCTACACAGACACAGGCGGATCCAGAGGGGGTCCAGGCGGTCCAGACCACGCCCCCACCGCCAACCTTTTGAAAACCAAATGTATATTGTTGTCTTTGATGGGCATTTAGGAGAACTGTTATGTTGGCAGTATAAATTGACTGAGAGAAGATTTTCATATTTTTGACCTCCCTTTTAAAAATGCTGGATCCACCCTTGACAGACATTCATACTCATTCAATAATTAACACAACACAAGGTTTGATACTCACATAAAGTTGACTAATCGGAAATATCCGACATGTTAGTCACCCGCTATCGATTCCCTTAGCACTGAGGGGCGGTCGGGTAGCCTAGTGGTTAAAACGTTCGCTCGTCACGCTGAAGACCCGGGTTCGATTCCCGACATGGGTACAATGTGTGAAGCCTATTTCTGGTGTCCCCCGCCGTGATATTGCTGGAATGTTGCTAAAAGCGGCGTAAAACCATACTCACGCACTCACGCACTCACGCACTCACTCACACCTTAGCACTGAGACTTTTTGTCTTCACTGTTTCTAATTCTGTATCTTTTACCAAAAAGCAAACATAGCATCGAAGGTATCTTTAATTTGTTAGAAGATGTGTTTACAAGATATTGGAGATGCATTTTCACCTGATAGCAATATTTGTTTTCCATCTGCTTGATCTGCAATTTGCATACGCGAGTCAGTAGATGCATACATAGAACCAGTAACAGGACTTTACAATCGGTATACGGTTTCCGGCGATCCATAAATAACGAAAAGTGGACAAAATGTTTAAAAAAACAACATTTTCTTTTTATTCCGCTGAATTTAAACTAACGTGTTCACAATACAAAAATTGCATACACTATGTCATCGCGCGCGACAAGCCTATTCCACTGCTAAAACCGCAACACATGAAGACAACTTTTTGAAGAACCTGAAATGTCGTTATTTTCATTTTTCCACCACTGATCAGGTTTTGACTCAAAAACGTTCGAAAACGTCCAAGAAATACAATTACTGCGGCCCTGGGTTCTGTGTATGTTCATCACGTTTGTGAACCTAACAACATTTCTTATGTTTAGTGCAATCTTCCGTATATTATTCTGAAAGGCAAATGACTATCATTTAATTCTTTAGCAAGTCATTGACTTCTGACGTTCGTTTTTCTCTCCAGAGTTTGAGGCGGCTAGGCTACAAGGTATAGAGACTATAATTTCCTTCTATATGAATTATAGCTGCATCAAGGTAGACTAAACGGGGCAGCTCAGAACTTCGGTCCCCGGCCGCGTCATACCAAAAGACGTTAAAAGATGGTACTTGTTGTTACCCTGTCTGGCGCTAGGCATTAAGGGGCCCAAACAAGGACGGGTCGGCTCGGAGTCAGTATACTGTGTGTTAGTGTGGTATTCATGTTAAACTGCGGCATGGTAACTCAGTGGGCTAGCACTATAAATCGTGATCAGTCCGGACTAGTTCAAGCAGCCACAAATACACACACACGTGCATGCACGTCGCTATACAAGTGCAATAATCTTGGACGCAATGTTAAACCCCATTTCACCTCACCTCAGAACTTTGGACTAAAAAGTAAGCTGAAGTGTAAAAGACTAAACTTGCAACAGCGAGACTGCTATTGGCGCATCTTACAAGACCATTATGCTTCGTTGGTTGGTTGTTTAACGCCGCACTCAGCAAAAGGCCTGCTATATGACGGCGGTCTGTAAATACTCGAGTCTGGACCAGACAATCCAGTGATTAATATCATGAGCTCGATCCACGCAATTGGGATCGATGACACGTTGTTATGAGTCCCTTTGTCTTTTTATCTATTGGCCATTTTGGCCTTTTCGTCAACCGTCTTTGCTTTTTTTCTTCGTTGGTTTTGACCATACTTCTTGTTTGGCCATTGTATTGGTTTCTTTGTTGTTCAACGCAACACTCAGCAATGTCCCAGATACATGACGGTGGCCGTCAAGGACCGACCATTTGATATTCTGCGGGGTGGGGGCTGGGATTTTGTTTCGAGATTAGATATTTGTTCAGCTACAGCTACAAAACCAGATCTGTTTTTATTTAAAACTACGAACCTGATTTTCTTTCAGAAAAACACTTCAACAATGTCATTTTTGTTTCAGGCAATATACATTGTTTTCAACAGTCGGAAGTATCTGTTTTTCAAGAATTTTAGAAAAGAATATCAAATGATCGGTCCCTAAATACTCGAGTCTGGACCAGACAATCCAGTGATTTATCTTGAGGGCAACGATCTACCCCAGCTGGGGACAAGTTGAAACCCAGAATCCCTTCGGGTTTTGGCAATTTGTAGTGAATTTTGTCGAGTCGATACCATAATGTTCCTTAAACTGTTATATAAGTATGTCCAATGAAGAATCATATAGAAAGGTTACCCTTTGACTGAACTAGGTATCTGGTCACGATGCACCTGTGCGATTGACTTTGTGCACCAAAGAAATGAGTTTCCAATGATACACAAACGGACAAACGGCTTTGTAAGTCAGAGTTACGACCTTTATACGAGGTCTGGTAAAAACGTTCTAAGCCAGACTAACTTTCAACTATGGGCCATAACAAAGTGAGCTAGTCAATGTAGTACATTGTTTGAGTAGTTCATTGCAAGTGTATTTGGTCTGTTGGGGTGTTTGTATATTAGTGACAGCCAGTTGAAGATGATAGGGGCCAGTTGAAGGTGATAGGGGTCCAAATGGACACAACCCGTGAAGATTTCGGGGTAGAATAGCTCTTTAGCAACCCATGCTTGCCGTAAAAGGTGACTATGCTTGTCGTAAAAGGCGACTAACGGGATCGGGTGGTCAGGCTCACTGACTTGGTTGATGCATGTCATCGATCCAAATTGCGTGGATCGATGCTCATGATATCAATCACTGGATTGTCTGGTCCAGACTCGATTATTTACAGACCGCCGTCATATAGCTGGAATATTGCTGAGTGCGGCGTTAAACAACAAACCAACCAACCAAATGGACACAGAAATTGAAAAGAACGAGCACCTAGTAGTCATGAAGTTTCTGACTTTCTTAAAAAGGACACTCAAAAAAATTCATGACCGCATCTCACAAATGTGTGGAGATAAGTGCCCTAGCTATTCCATTGTTAAATGTTGGGCATCTGTTTAAGGTTGGGAGAAGAAGCCTTGATGATGACCCTAGGTCTGGACGTCCCTCGACTTCCATCAATGAAGATTTAATCAAGGAGATCGAAAAATCTTATACTGTCAGGTAGACGTATAACCATTGGTTAACTTGGTTAACTAAGATCCACTGAAACTTTATTCATGAACATTTACAGATGAATAAGGGTGCCAAAGTTTCTAAATTCTGATCTTAAGGAAAAAAGAACCGACATTGCCAGAGAAAATTTACAGATAATAGAGGATCATTTTGTCAAATTCAAAAAGAGATTAGTAATGGGTGAGGAAACATGGGTCTACCACTATGATCCCGAGTCAACTTCTCCATCACCAAAGAAATTCAAGTCTTTGAGATCAGTTAAGAAAGTTATGGCTATTGTATTCTGGGATGCAAAGGGAATGATCCTTTTTGATTACTTAGAAAGTCAAAAGTCAATTACAGGTGCCTACAATGCTGATTTGCTTCATCGCCTGAGAGATTCTATAAAAAAAAAAGCGGCGAGGAAATGTGACTGAAGTTCTACTACTTAATGACAATGCCTCTTCTCACACCTCTAGACTTGCAAAGGTGGCTGTGCGACAATGTGGGTTTGAAGAGGTTCCTCACCCTCTATACTCGCCAGACCTGGCACCAAGTGATTTCCACCTGTTTCCTAAACTGAAAGAACACCTTGTGGAAAGCCCTATGCCGTGAACAGGTTTTTCAGGGTGGCTTCAGAGAACTTCTTCCTGACTGAACCGAAAAGCTTAATTATCGATATGAGAAGTGTATTGAAATGCAGGGAGATTATGTTGAAAAATAAAATTAAAAACACTTTCACAATTGTTGGTTTTATTTGTTAGGCTTAGAACTTTTTGACCAGCCCTCGTATTCGACAAGGCTTAGGACTAAAGTGATTTAGAATATTTTTATGCAAGTCCGATTCAGAAAGATCATGTGGACGAGATCCATGCAAAGGACCACCTCAATGGATTTCATGAGAGCGAGTAAGCGAATGTGTTAAGGCAGTTTTCAACGGTATTTCTGTTATATCACTTAAGCATGTTCTCATTGTGGTCATATTGATATTTTCAGTTGACAATTCTTGTAAAGCTTTCTCCTTGTTGCAGCCTGTTGGCTGTTGAACTTGAGAAGCAGGCAGTTATGATGCTGATAAGTTTGTTAAAAAAAAAAAAATATAATCCACTGTCTCTACAATAACACAGACACTCAGAATATGGTGATGATTTATTCAAACAGTATGATAACCATATAACAGTTGCTTTGAAGTGACAATATTGAATCAGCAGGTCTACAGGACAATGGAATGGGCCTTGGCTACACACAAATTAATGGATAATTAAATCTATGGGTAAACACTTGAAAGGAGCTACAACTTTACATTCACTACTGCACCAAATCAAATATCTTGTCAAGGATCAACTCAAACCTTTATCTCACAAAATAAATATTTCTGGAGGTCATTCAAAAGATGTTCAATCTACATAACTTAAGGATTACATGCACCTTGACAAACAACAGTAGCCCACCAGACTGCATGTATTAGAATAACTACATGACTTTGTGAGGATGCTCTTTATATAATTATGTATTCAGAATTAATTCATAAATGCTAAGTTTGATGTTTTTGCTTTCAAGGTATACTTAAAATTTGATTTCAACTACATTAGGGCCATCATTAATTGAAATTAGGCTGAACTTCTACAGTCAAGATCCAAACAAAGCAGCATTTGGTTAAGCCAAGATGTCTTGGATCAAAATGATAAAAAGATTCGTGAGTTTGAAGTAAGCCCTTTCTTTCTTTCACATCCTACATAATTGTAGACTGACAAAATGTATTTGAGAAAGGGGAAAACATTAATCTGGCCTTGATGTTCACATTAACAAAAATGAAACTATTTTTAGTTGCATGGTTTTATCAATATATAGTACACATTTAAGCAATCCATTGTTCTTTGGTTTGTGATGCACAAAGCATTTTTGATATTCATGTTAATCAAAGGGATGAAGTGGTACCTCTAGGTTAGACAATGTTCTATGATGTTCTTTCACATGTAAAAAAACCCTTTTTATATCATTATTTAAGATTAGCCACAGTACACCTTGTACATGTTTCCCATAAATAAAACATCCAAAGGAGTGAACTGAACCAGTCCATCTACATTCAAGGCAAACACACTTACCACTGGGATAGACTACTAAATGTTTGATGAGTTGTTGGATAAGGCTGTTGCAATAAAGTGAATAAACATCCTTTGCGTCAGTGCCAAGCTATTTTGCTCGATTACCGGTACTTAGTAACCTATCACTATTTTAACTCAATTTATCACCACATAACAGTTATCAAATTCCAAAAATAGCAATAAATATAAAAATATGCTGATCAGTAAATTACTTCATTACAAAGCAGAATCATAAATAACCCTGAGTATCATTGAATTGAAAATGCTGTACTGAATACATACTTAGTCTTGGAAAAGCAAACATTACTAAAAACCTAACAGCTCTAATGGTCGTTACAATGTCCTACGAGAAATTATAATTGAACATGCCAATCTAACTGATAATATCTAATGGCGAAACATTATACCTTTCAATTTGTATTATTTAAAAATATGGCAAATGACAAATTATGTACATAAAGTTTAAGGATCATATTGCTTATTATTAGTTTAATATAAACTAAGATAATATCCAACATTTACATACAATCAAACTAACCTACACAAAAATAGTTAAAAGGCGTTTGCCTATACAAAAGAGAATGTCTTCAATCTACATCAATGACAAATTTAGATTAAGGAAAAACAAAATATTCAAATACCAGCTGGTAAATTGCTACATGGAATCTTTAAAAATATTTCTTGCATATGGTTATTAGATTTCCAACTTTAACATGAATCTTCCATTATCTTTTCTCAAAATTACTCAAAAGCAGATGTTAGAAAACATATGTAATAAAAAATTATGAGAATTCATTTCCCCCCCCCCCCCCCCCCCCCACCCAAGTTGCTCATCAACAGCATCCTTGGGTTGGGCAGCTTGTTGCCTCTCAACATGTGTGGGACTGGTTATCTTAGTATCTTACTCCTAGTCTATCACATCAATGATAAGGCAATATTCACAAACAAAACATACCTCATAGAACATGAAGAGGCAAAGTGATTTACACTTTGCACAAGAGATGGGCGGAATGTTGTTAGGATGTTCAATAGTAAACCTTTCATAACGTATGGTCAGGTCTTCACTGAAATATTCTAAACTTGATTCTCAAGAATACAATTATAGTTTGTGATCAATAAAAATTCTTATTTACAGAAACAACTGTCCTCAAGGCTTATAAATTTGAAAGTTTGAAATAAGGATACTATTAATAAATATCAAAGTATTGCAAGAAATCTTTTCAGTATAATTTTGAAAGTGAATATGTCAAGGTAGTGACTGTCATGAAAAGGAGTAAAACATATATTTGTACATGAACAAAAACAGCCCAAATACACATTAAACATGTACTGAATAATCCCACAGGTAACAGATGATAGGATCAAACATGGACAGGACCATATGCTTTCAAACCAATCACTCTGGACAAATAATAGACACATGAACAGAGCATGATACTGAAGTCCAAAACATTGAAGCTGAACATAACAGTTTGTTGTTGTCTAAATCCACAGAACAAAAAAACCTTCTTGTACAAATAATTAAGACTTGTTCAGAACAACATTATCTGAACAGTATTGGACACAAAGACCCCTCACATGTGCATTATAATCATGAACAAAAACAATATGTTAGTACATAATTAGAATGTAACTTGTTGGTATGGAAAAGAGTGGGCATCCTTTTCTAGATCAATCGAAGGCACAACCATTAACTTGGAAATGCCAACAGGGAACATAATGCAGGATGGATTCAGATACGAACATGTGAAAGTGCGTTAGACAACATTAAACATGGGCCGGACGGTTAGTTCGACATTACAAAGAAAGAAATAACAATATGTTATCCAGTTACTTACAAACTTCATACTCATACAGATTGGTCATCACTTGGCTGCCTCAATATATACTAGTGAAAAGGAGTTAAAAAACACCTGATGTTTTCATACGGGCATAGTTATTCTGTCTGGTTGGTATTGGGTGTTCTATTCTTGTTTTGAGCAGTACATATACAAAGCTTAGTGGTAATTTGTGTTAGAACCAAGTCATGACACATGACACAAGATAATGATTAGTTGGAACAAAATAACTCACAAAATAGAGAAATAAAGACACAATAGATGGCACCCTTCCAGGTACAAAGGAATGGTAATAGTATAAAGCATTGCAGAGTGCATAGTTTGGTAGCATAGGAAAATAGACTCTTTGGCAGATGAAACTGTTTTTAGAAGGAATATTTATTTGCTGGTAATAAAAGTATAAAATGTACAACTAACAAACTATCTAAACTGAGTGAGCTGGTTCCCTGTCTTTAATATTAAATTTGAAAATAAAACAGTTTTCTGAAACTATAAAAGTTATAATGGATATGCCTACTTAACCATGTTTCACCATGGTTACAAACAGCTTATACGAAAAGATAAAATAAATGACTTCATCTGAACATGCTGACAAACCTTGGTTAAGGACAAACTACATCTTATTTTCCAAAATAGACTGTCACAAGTAAAAAGGATATGCATGAATGTTTGGAAGAGAAATTCATACAAAAATACAGTGTTTTGGGAAAAAAAAGAGAACAACATCATGTTAAAGTTTGAAAACTAACAAACATAAAAGATATCTGAATCAGATACTTTAATAAGCTGAAGCACAGCTTATCCTAGGACATGCCAATGCGCAATTCCTCTTGTTCTTAAATGACCCACATCATAAACACTGATGGACTAATGTCACATAGTTCGTCCAAGTTGAATCTCAAATAACCACTCCTTGAAAATATCCATAGTCATACATGATACATGACATGTAATATATGTATGTTAAAAAGAAATGACAATGTAGGTCAGTGTACTAGGTTTTAACATTATTTTCACGTCCATTTCCCTGAAAGATAATTTTTTTAAGTCAAGTGGACCATGGGTACTAATAACCTATTATCATATACACTGAAAACAACAATGGAAGGGACCATTCACATATGTTTAACATTCCAGACATCAAACACATTCCAGGAACTTCTCTGAAAGAAAACGAAAATGACCACAAATAACAGCACTAAAAACAAAGTTTTGTCTGGCATCGAAACCAGTAACAAATGAGATAAATATTGGTCTGCAGCTGTCAAAATTACAGACATTAACACTTGTTAGGCTTTTTAAAACAGTAGTATCTATCAAAAAACGTCAACATTCGATGATTTAGAATTGTGTAAAATAAAAGTTTAAAAAACAGTAGTTTGACACAGTTGTTTTCACAGTCCATGGAAGTTCGTAACTCTGGACACTAATAGCTGTTTGATTCCCTGGTGATCTTTCACCAAGCTAATGTTTTGTTTGTTTGTTTTGTTTGGTTGTTGCTTAATGCCGCACTCAGCAATATTCCAGCTATATGACGGCGGTCTGTAAATAATTGAGTCTGGACCAGACAATCCAGTGATTGCCTCAATAGGGTAAGTACATGCTTGCACAAGATTCAATACACACATGGATAAATGTAACCTAATGTTTGAGGTAGGTGTTGTTTTAGAGTGAGTGAGTTGGGTTTAATGCCACTTTTAACATTATTCCAGTAATATCACAGCATGTCAGCTTAATGTGGGTGGAAAGCCCGAAGTGGTGCAGGTCTTGGACGTTTACCACTTCAGAAAAATCCACGAGCATGGGTATGGTGCTGACAAACCTAGAAACATGATCGGGGCGAACCTGGATTCGAACCCACAATCATAGGTTTCGGGCATGCCCAAGGTACGCAAATCTGCACAGCAAATCACGGCGCCTTGGGCGACTGGGCCACCCCTGCCCCGTGTTGTGTTAGAAGGTGAATACTCTTGACTGACTCTGGTCCTGGTCTTTGTTTCATCAGGTTCCTTGTATGTGGTATTTTACAGTACAAGTTCAAATACTGAATATTAGTTAAAATGTATTAATCCTATACAAATCTAACCATCATCATTTTCGTGGTAACATGAGAAAATAATAAGACACTGACAATACATGGTGCTCCTATATTACTAGAAGTATAACATATTTCACATTAACATAACACATTTGGTTATCAACTGATTGAAACCCACAAACTCCAACACGCCCCTTAAAAGCATCTTTAATAACAGATAAGTTGTGTCCATGACATGGCTAGAAGCAACACAGCACAGCCTCTCTTCCTAGACAGTCAAGATGCATGACAACCATCCTAAATTTCATAAGAATCAAAACAAGTTCCAATGTCAATTCTGACACATAAACCTTTCTTTCACATACATCATATGATAGGCCAAGATATAGTCTTACGTGTCTCTGCCACAGGGGTCAGTATTTCCTCATTGGAGTACATGATAGTCAGTGAGGGAGTTAGAGTTAAATGCTGCATTAATCATATTTTAGTTATATCATGGCATGTCAACTTGATGTGGCTGGAAAACCCATGATGCCAGTCTTAGACGTTTACCCTGTTGCTGAAACCCACAAGCTTATATACATAATCACTGCAAACCAGGACTCAACCAACCAACAGGTTTCTAGCATGCCTAAGGGACACAACTCTCCAAAGCAAAAGGCGACACCTTAGACGACTGGGCCACCTGTGCCCTGAGAGACAGATCCTAAACAAAATGTCTACAATCATACTATAACACTAATGTGAGACCACTCCATTCACTTGGGAATGTAATGTCCTATATCAACATGATCCAGAAATGATATACACAAGGAACAAGAAAATAACAGACAAAATATGAGGTGAAACCCATAAACACTCGAATGGTGACATGTTTTGGGCACAGACTAATTTCATTCAAATCTTAGTTTGTGTCATGGCAATAAAATAACTTATATTGAAACTAAATATTGATGAAACATAAAGGTCACTTTTATATTAATATAGCCACATTTGATGTCATAAAGAGTGGTTCTATCACTAAATAATAATGTGATGTGTTACAGTTGTAAAAACATTCTCACATGTTTTCAATCCAGTGAAATCTATTCTGGTATCACCATGTGAAATCTGTCAACAATGTGCTACATGTATATAATATATTTGAGATATATGAATATGTGTATTTGTAAGAGAGCATATTTTTGTGAAAATACAGAGTTTGCTATTTACTTCAGAAGTGCATTAAAGCTGTTCCGATCTTGGACTAGTAATAAGATTTTGCAAATATTCAATTGTGTGTATTCTATCCACACAAAAACAAAAAGAATTTGTTAAAAATAACTTAACCATTTCTCCATTAAAAAGGTCAACAATCACTTATCACACACAACAGCATAAACAACTTCATTTATTAACAATCCATGTGAAAAATTCCAAGACCTATGTCAGTCTTCATAACACTCTAACATAAGACATTCAAAATATATGTTCACTAATGCCAAATGAAATCTAATCAGAATTGTATTAAAAAAACAGTTTTAAAAAGTTTTCAAACATGAGTGTATAGACTTATATAACATTCACACATCTCATTTAACCAATGCAGGTGGCCACTGATTGTTATGACAACAACATTCAGGTGCTGTAAAGAGAAATGTAATATGTTGATTGTTCCAAGAATATGCAGTTCATTTGATTCTTAAGAGCAAATGATGAATGAAGTTTCTTTATATTATTATGGCAGGCACAGTAAACTTCAAACATCAAGTGTCTGAACAACACCGCAATACCTTGCAGTACTAACTCTGTAATCTTTTTATCATATTACTGATACATCTTCTTATATCCAATCACCATAAATTTGAGAATCTGACACATCCTGTTGGAATTGAAGAAATATGTCTACTTAGTGTCCATATGGTCCTGCTGTGAATGACAAATGCTGCCACTGCCTCCAACAACCCAAACACAAAAAGTTAATGATTTCACAGTCTACTGTACTGCAAGGCATCGTTATATTCATACTTGTCACCAGATAGAAACAAGTGACATGTCAGGAAGATTACCTTAACCATGTTAACAAGAACAGAGAATGAATAATTTATTAAAAAAAATAACATGCAAAAAGTATTCAACATATTTCTGGGATTCAATTATATTTTAACAATTATACAAATACATATAAACACACCCATGTGACATGCATGTTTTTTTACAAGAGTTTATATAGAACTGGTACTGGTACTGGCACTGACAAAGGTGGACCGTATAAATTCTATTTATTGGATACATGAACGACAGAACTAACTATCGAGGCATGTCACCATAACCTGGATCAGTTATTCACATACATGTACACTTCACTTTCTTCTTTCCTTCTGGGACATAACCTCTGTTGTTACAGCACTTGTGAATGGCAACAAAAGATTATAGCTTCTTCTGGTTAGCCTGCTGTCTTCTCTTCATGAATGTGCTAAATGCCTTAACAATATTGAGAAATTTCAAGCAATGGGTATTGAGTTTTCAAATCATTCTATTCCAGTACACTTCTGTTTCTTCTTATTAACTTCAAATGTCAGAAAATATGTCATTAATTGCTATCAACTCTCGAAACATAAGACAAAGTTGAAAATAAAGGTCATACTTCATTGGTAAATTGTGTAGCATCCAATATGACATAAATGATAACATTGAGGAATGTTATACATTGGGATGATGAGAGTTGAATTCACATACCAAACAGGACTAACCACTCAGTCCAATGCAAAACAATCACCTGTGCTCCTTGTTTCACTCCCTTCCCAAGGAGATGAACACTGTTTTATAGGACATGCCTTCCTCTAAGCCACTTAGCATGCTGTATAGATTGCTTGTATAGTCCACTCACAAATGTTAAAATAAACTCCAGGGCCCACTTGCACAAAGCGATCTTAGCGCTAAGACTATCGTAAGCCTATGTTAAAGTATGGGAGTTACGGTCATCTTAGCGCTAAGATTGCTTTGCGCAAATGGGCCCAGACAAACCTGAAAGAAACTGTTTCTTACACAGTGAAGCCATGTTAGTCCACCCCACTTGGAACCCTCATTCACAATGATGACTGTTGGACATACAACTGAAGGGACACTACCACATACCCATGAACAGTTAATCCAGATGATTTCACTGGGAATAGTAGTGTCCATATTAACACGGTTTCAATGTATTCAAACACTTGGATACATCCCAGAGTCACAGCATAACCCAGCAGATTACCACCGGAACTGAATTTAGAAAATCTCAACGAGCTTGACAAGTCCCAGGGAGGAATTGATACCACAGGAAATACCAAGAACTAAGAAGAAAGCCATCATCATGCCAGCAGTGCCTGCATTTTCTGGTGCTACTTGTCTGAAAAAAAAAGAAGAAGGAAATTCTATTTATATAACCAGTCTGTATGAATGATCATTAACAAGGTACCACTTAAATCACATACCAACAAGAAGACAAAGTTATCGATATCCCCCACCCTTAAACTATGTGCCTAAAATCACAAGAACTATGTCATATACCTCATTATATCAAAAAGCTTAAACCAAAGCATGTGAGTACAACTGACATTATGAATGATAACTTAACCCAACGATTCCCACCATTCTTTAAATGCTTTCAACACCTTCCATTAGTAATGGTACTTTTAATACACAGAGCTTTTCATTTGATAGCAGTGTTACATGTAATATTTTCAAAACTCAAAATCATATTTCCCCAACAAAATAGCACACACAAACTATACAACTTGTGAATTGATGTACGATTGTGTGATTGTTCATATAAAAAGCTGCAATATGTGCAACATCCCACTCTATCAGGGTACGACGTCACACACTCAACCAAGTCACTAAACATGACCACCTGATCCATATAGTCCCCTTTAAATACAAGTTTGCTGGGGACCTATTTTAACTTTGACTCGCAACATTGTTGTATGATGTGCTGACAAACCTTCATCAGTAAATATTTAGTAGTTTATCAGGTATACTTTTCAAATTTTGAACCTTAGTCCAACTTATTATTTCAAAGGAAAGCAAATGCTAAAAACCCAAACAAAACAGAGCTTGAATAGTTAAAGGCATCAAATGAGCACTTGCCTGATCTGTATACAAAGTTTCACAAAGAAACAAAAAGCAGGTAAAGAGTTCCGGAAAGATCTCTATTCTCATTTCAACTACAAGTCCAACTTATTGCCTTGAAAAGCAAAAACAATTTAAAAATTCTTAAAATTCTCACATTTGTGTGTCACTATGTACTGAGGGGGTTTATGGTGCTCACGATGTCAACCATTTACCATTAACTAGTCTCTCTCTTCCAGGGGTCTGGAAAATTTAAAATCCCAATCGGACATTTGCATTTAGGCCACGCCCCCTTCAAATAGCGTATTTTAGTACAACTTTTCATACACATTACAAGTTGTTACGTTCAGTGTTCCCTCGTTATTGTTTATCTGGACTAATGTTTGCAATATAATTTATTAATTATATTCAAAATTTTATTCAATAATTATAATAATGTTTACAATAACTTCGGCAAAATCATATGTGAAGTGGTCGGTAGATCACACAATTCACCGTTATTTACAGCAACCACGGTCAGATTACCGCTATTGACGCCTTGAAACAAACTTTAGTTGCAAGAGAATGGATACACATGTCATAAATGCCGTACCATGACTCGCTAGAAGTCATATTTGAGGCAGTTTGACTATTAAATTCAACATAATGTTTTCTCAATCGAAATTCATATAGTGCGGGAAGTCCCTACGGTGACTGGTCAAAATCGTTCCATACGTAAAAAAATATCCTGCATACCATCTGTACCAAAGTGCTATGCTTATGGTTCTTATAATTTAAGTATATGTAGTGGAAGCTGCAACTAATATAGCACGATATTGGAATATATTATTCCTGATAAAAAATAATTTCAGATACAATTTCTTCTGACCATTGCATAAAAATTCTTTAAAGTGGTATCATTGGGTACGTTTTAACTGAATCACTGGTAGTTTGGGAGGAAACCTATGCACAGCTGATTGCTATTTCCGGCTTAGTTTACAAGAAAATACACACAGTAATCTTAATCTCTGCGTATAAAACAATGCCTTGGAGAGCAGGAAATACATTTTATATGGTAAATCATCATGTCTAGTGATGTTTTATATCAAATTTCATACTTTTATTGACTAAGTTTGTTATACCTGTTTCTTCACCTGAATTCGCTGAAGGGATACGGTAACACTCATCAATAATTTGGACCCTTTTGATTTTTATAATGTCCGGAGAGAAAAATTTAAATGTTCGGATATTTTAAACCGGACCGTTTCCGGACCCCTGCTCTCTTCTTCACCCCATACCCCCACCCCTCAATGCACCCCTGGAAGCATGTGTTTATCCACAGCATGTCAATTGATGCAGTACTTACTTTGGTGCATACATCATACACAAACTGCTGAAGTAGCCACTGGTGAATGCCATCAATGCTGCACCAATGATGTAAACATAGTCATTGTTGATGAGGACTGGAATTGTGCGTACTTCTGGGCGGAAGTTACACAGCACATAAAATGGGATGAAGAACAGTCCACGGATAACGATTGGAATCCACACAAACCGGGGCCCAGGCTGAAACAGAAATAATATGCATAAAATACCAAACCAAGTATTTGCCAGAACATTTGGAACATGGAATATTATTCTGGTGATGCCAATTATTAATTAAAGTATGACATGAGCAAAGGGTCTTTATTCTAGAGTGAGCTGTATCTAATCTAACCATATACCGTATATAGCTGTGTATAAGGCGAGTTTTTCGTACCTAAAATGAGGGGGTTAAGAAGGGGGGTCGTCTTATACACGGAGTCAAAGATCTCACATTTTTTTCCACTGGCGATGTCAACCGGCGTCCGATAGCCAGCCCAGCATTTGACAATAAAACTTCACATTTCGTCCTAAATAACAGTTCCAATAGCTATTTCTATACATAAACATGATTTGTATCTCTTTTCCTTGAATAAAATTTAATAATTTCTGCAAATAAAGTTGAAATGACCCTCGCCTCGATGCAGATTGTCAAACCAGCTGACACGGTAAAACAATCACCATCCGTGAGTAAAATGTAACAAAAGTCTGTGACTGGGCAGCACGTGACCATCAGTCTTAGAATAGGGATACACTCACATTCTAAACCAGACAGGTCCATGCAGCTGTGAGCTCTGCCACAAACTGAAATTTGGATGCCATTGGAAATGCCTGATAAGCATTTAGTTGCCTTTTACAACAAGCATGAGGAAATATATGGTCAGGTGCGGTGAAATAGGGTTTAACATCATGTTCAAGATTATTGCACTTATATAGCGATGTGCATGCATGTATGTGTGTGTGGCTGCTTGAACTAGTAAGGTCTAATGCTGGTTTTATAGAGCCAGACCACTGGGTGAGGTGAGGTGAGGTGAAATTGGGTTTAATGTCGCGTCCAAGATTATTGCACTTATATAGCGATGTGCATGCATGTGTGTGTGTTTGTGTGTGTGTGGCTGCTTGTACTAGTCCGGACTGATCACGATTTATAGTGCTAGCTCACTGAGATACCATGCCACAGTTTAACATGAATACCCCACTCAGACACAGTATACTGACTCCGAGCTGACCAGTCCTTGTTTTAGCCCTTTAATGCCGAGTGCCAGACAGGGTAACAACCATCTTTTAACGTCTTTTGGTCTGACGTGGCCGGGGATCGAACCCCGGACCTTCCGCTCTCTGGGCGGACGCTCTACCACTAGACCACAGAGGCAGTTACCAGCCCACTGAGATACCCACAGTTTAACATGGATACCATACTCAGACACAGTATACTGACTCCAAGCCGACCAGTTCTTGTTTTTGTCTGCTTAATGTGAAGCGCCTGGTGGTGTAACAAGCCCCATCTTGTAACAACAAGCTGGTGATCGAGCCACAGACCTTCCACACTCCGGCAAACACTCTGCCCACTAGGCCACAGAGGTGGTCCAAATATATGAGGCAACAGAAAACACACAGTTGGTACAGCATCAGTTGCCTCATGCAACATAATATCCATGACAATTAAGTTGTCTGTGGAAAGACATGATAGGTCTCAGAACCACTTTTACTACCTCTGCTTACAATGTAAACGCAAACCCAACAAGGCTTACATGACCAACGATGCTTACCACTTTCACCAATTCAGTTGTTATGTTGCCAAGCAAAGCAAAGAAGTTGAAGTTAAGGAAACAGAAGATCGGCTTGAAATAGGCATCTGAAATGTAGCAATACGTGTTAAAACAATGGCTGATTTCACAAGACATTCAGATGAAAATATGTCTACTACACAACTGCCATCATGAACATGTTTCATCCAACCATTTACCCCTCAAAACCCAAATCATTTAAATCTGCACCATAAATCATGAACTTGTTTTATACAAGATTGTTCAAAGAAATTGGACTGCCACCCAAGAGTGAGGGAGTATTGTTTTACGCCATTTTAGCTATATTCCAGCAATATCACGTAGGGGAACACCAAAAATGGGCTCCACACATTGTACCCATGTGGGGAATCGAATCCGGGTCTTCGTCATGACGTGCTAACACTTTAACCACAAGGCTACCCCTCCGCCCCCTGCAACCCAGGGCACAGAAATACACTCCCTGAGAACTCATTTCCAGAAGGCTTCACACCCTTGCTATATGAGACTGATCCCTACTATGGTTACTTCCTGTCAAAGGTTGGTAGACTAGAGTAATATGTGGCTTCATATCCTTAGCACCGCCGGCAGGTTTTCTTGGGAGGAGAAGATCGTATTTAGACATAATGAAAATATGTGTTTCAACGAGAGAGCAACCAATCCCCGGATTAAAAACAACAACTTTTCACGATGTTTTTGCCGGTTCATATTTTCCCTATCATGCCATCATAATCATCCTGCGTCATACATTTCGGAGCAACAAACTTTAAAAGTTACGGCTTTCCCTGGCCTGACACAATTCTGCCATATTTCCATACCTAACTTATGAAGATATTAGTCTTTCAACATGACTAAATGTTCACAAATGTCTGGCACTCCTAGGAGGAAATGGTTTCAATGGTTTGTTTTGGTCCAGAGCACTTACCTGAAATTGGGAAGTGGATTCTCTCAATGTCGCTCTGGATGGCAGGGAAGAGCATCAATGACACGAAGAACACAAACCACACACAGAATATCAACACCCAGATCTGTAATGACACAATCACATTAGCTTGTAAATATCACAGGAGCAAATTTCTATTTAACTGATAAGAATGTGTAAATGTTGATACAACATATACAGTATCTAAAATGTTATTCATAGAGAATATTGTATCAGCGTTCTTGTCATACAATGTTGATGACACGAGTCTATTTATTACTGAAGAAGATGTCTACATACAGAGACGCATTTTAGTGTCTACCTATAAGGACAGCAATTGCAACAGCAGCTGAACCACAATTTGTTGAATGACATCAACAATCTTCAGCTATGGCGTCGTTTCTTGTGTGACATTGTTTCTAGTGTGACGTCATTCTAACCTCATGTCACAATAAGATTCGAATGATGTCAACAATGTCTTCCTTATGACGGAAACAATACACTGTTGTCTCATGACGTGATATGACCCTAGGGCACATATCACTTTCTGAACCCCAATAAGCTAACCCTCATAGGTAATAAAAAGGTGTATTATGTCACCTTTCAAAGTGTTGTCATTGAATAGCCTACTCATACAGCTTATTGTGCCATCAAGTAATTGTGTTTGTTGTTTTAGTCCAGCATTATGACGGTGCACTAAATCAAATCTGGACCAAACAGTGACTGATATCATGAGCATCAATCAACACAACTGAGGCTTGATGACATGCAATCAACTAAGTCACTGAGACTGACCACCCAACCATGTAGTGGTCTCATACAACCAGCATAGGTTGACAGGGTCTATATTCTTACACTTTCAGTGATGGTGATTGATGGTTGAACATTTGAGATGTCCATGATAACCAGGTGAAACTGAGATTCAACCCCACAACCAATGTCCATCGGATCCTGGTAGTGGTATGACAAAGTGTGCATGCTGCACGTTGAGTAAAAACAACTGATTCCCTTTCTGCTTGATTCTAATAACATGTTTGGGTGAGAGAATGTATGGTAGTGCTGCTCTGAGTGTGCTCTCATTGTATTATCAATACAATACACTGACAGTCTGCAGACAGCAATAACAAAACCAGATGGAACAATGTCATTCATGTGTGATTATAGCAAATCATCAATATATGAAAATGGAAATGCCTCATCAACACACAAAAATAATGTTTACATAGCTTATTGCCTATACACCTATCGCAATCAAATCAGCAATGGCAATAGCGTATTCGACGTAATAAGCGCCCAGGGCACTCTCAAAATTAGAAATAGGGGGCTCTTATTAGAATATTATTTTGGTGAAAAAAAAGAGTTAAAAGATAAATTTCATGGTTTATGCTGACAGCCTGAAATGTTTATATACGACAGATATATTATTCCAGAATTTAATTGCCCATTACTAAGGGTGCATATAACACATGAGTGCGTATTATATTCGAATAAATAAGTCTTGTGTACATTGATCAATCAGAAGGGGTGCTAATTGGGATTGTTCACTTGTCAATAAATTAGCAAATATCGCCGTGGGCGCTTATTAGAGCGGGGTGTGTATTACGTCGAATATGGTATCTGTATATAAAGACTCAACAATGGTACATACCTCTTTGAACACAGACCAGTACCTGCGGATTGTCTGACCACAAGACTCACTCTGGTTTTGAGAAGGAGATGCTTCTTTCTTCAACTTTACCAGCATTTTGAAGTGGCGGTAAAATCTCTACAAAACACAAAACAATTTCACTGAACTCAACTTGCAGGATACACATCCACCTAAGTACCCGCTTCACATACAAATTGTCATGGTTAAACAGTGTCCAAAAAGAAGCAAAATGAAAGTGAAGGGGTCCTTACCCTAATGTTAAAAGTTTAACATTTGTAGATTTAAATACTAAAGAAACAAACCGCAGGGACCCTGGGTGCCCAAGGACTCTGCTTGATTTTGATTACTGATATTAATAGGAACCTCAGAAGACAGTAAACATGTTCAATCAGAAACTATTATTCAATCAGGATTTGTCTAGACCTGCTCAGAAGCTGATATTCGGCCCCAGGCCCCATAACTTCCCAAAAGAAATTTTTTCCCAATTCATGCAATAAAACTCAAGTTTGCAGCTTTTAATACTTTAGGGCATACTTAATCACAAATGCTTGGGGTTCTGCTCCAAGTGCTTTGTTCTCCCTGAAGTATATTTTTGTACGATAAACAACTCCCACTTGTCGTTTATTTCATATATATTACATGTCAACATCATATATGCCTTTTTCAGGATGTTAACAAAATGTACAAGCTTTAAAAACATTACCGTGTTGGTTGGTATTTCCCGAATATTCTCACAATTTTCACATAGATTATTTGTACCTATTCTCCATTTACTGATTGTCAGATCTCTCCCACTTTTGGGTGTGATGGTTCCACCACTGGGCTTATCTACATTGCCCAGCTATATCTATGGGGAACAACTCTTTAGACACTTCCATCTTAAAAAATAACGTTGTCTAATTTACGATGTGATCAAGTTGCGAGTGCATGTTTGAATCTCCAGAAATGACGTCATGAGAGAACAATGTCTCATTGTGAAATAAACCACACTTCATTGTTCATTTCAATTTATTGCTTAGTTATCTTCATGTATTCAGTTACTCTGTACCGAGTGAAACTTAAAAAATATAAATAGCAATGAGTGCATGAACATATTAATTATTTACTATAATTTGGATTATAAAACAAATTACAGGCAGGAAACAGTGTTACACTCAGGCAAATGCACAGGTTGATGTCCCTGTATTATGGGGGATGCCACTTGTTATTTGCTTGATACAAGGTCATGATCAAGACGAGAAATCAAACTTCCATTCATTGGTTCTCAAATGTTCTCAAAGAGGATGTCCAGCCGCCATCAACACCAAATGTGACTTTGCCGTGAAGCAAAATCATATCCATAATCATTGGGCTGATGAATCACGAATCACTGTTGGTAAATTTCTTGCAAATCATGAACTAACAAATTATCTCAAGGGGTGGCACTGAAACCTATAGAGACTTGGACGAAGCCATCTAAATCCATTGAGATACTGCAGGTTGAGCAAGTGAGTGAGTAAGTGAGGTTTTACGCCGCTTTTGGCAATATTCCAGCAATATCACGGCGGGGGACACCAGAAATGGGCTTCACACATTGTACCCATGTCGGGAATCGAACCCGGGTTTTCGGCGTGACGAGCGAACGCTTAAACCACTAGGCTACCCGACCGCCCCGCAGGTTGAGCAAGGAAAATTATGGGACCACAATCATTCAGCTTTGATTAGCTAGATTGTTGTCACCCATGTCCTTGAGAAAGAAAAGAGAAAACTTCTTGCCAAACAGAAACCAGTGACTTGTTTGTTTGTTTGTTCAATGCCACACAGCAATATTTCAGCTGTATGATAGTGTCTGGACCAGACAATCCAGTGATTGACATGAGCATCAATCTACACAATTGGGATATGATGACATGCATCAACCAAGTCAGTAAGCCTGACCACCCGATCTGTTAGTTGCCTCTTACAAAAAGCATACTCGCCTTTTACAGCAAGCATGAGTTGCTGAAGACTTATTCTACTCCTGATTATCACAATGTGTTTCACATCAAGTTGGACTGTGAATTATGCAAATGGAAATTTGAAATGGGACAATTAAGACAATATTTTGTACAGTGCTCACTCTCTTTATCAATTGTATTGTAACGAATGATGGATGTACGAATGTACGGATGTATGTTGCTTAAACAAACGCCATGGGAATTATCCCTTGGACAGTGGCTTGACAAGTATGAAGTCACTGTTTATGGCACCCAAACAGGATATCAAGATCAAAGGTCGTTTCACCCATTCAGCAATATATGCAACGTTATTTTTGTGGGATTAACCGAAAGACCAACACTTTTAGACTGACCCCTTACTGAAGTAAATGCAATGTTAAAATACAATGTTAACATAACATGTTTTTCCCAGTGTGCCTGCCAAGGGCACTCCTAAAGATTGGAATACCCGGTAGTAGATAAATTCCTGGCCTGTTGTCATGGTTATGTCACTTAACACAACATGTTCTGGCTTTCAGAAATACTACAAAGAGAAAACAAGAGTAATTCTTCATCATCATAGATAACACAAGTTATGATCCCATCATCTCCATATTAGCTGTGTATTTGTGTAAAATATGCAAAAGAAACCACCATTACCTAATTAATTTAAAGTTGCTTGCATACAATTACTCATGAAAAATGTTTAAAAACCTGAACAGTTTTGTTAAAACGTTTGTAATTAGCCAGTGTAGCCTATTCAGCCAGTATTTCTTCACTGTTTTTACTAACGATACTGATTGAATGCAGGCATCACAAAATAAAGAAGCTCTCAGGCAGCAAATAAGCAACAAATGCATTATCAGTATTTATCACTCTGATCATTTTGTAACTTTGACGTGTATATGGCTGAGCTAATGAAGTGCTACACACATCTTCCCAAGGCAAAGGCATTATTTGACAGTAAAAGTCAAGTTTTAACCCTTGCCGATCTAGGCTGGAATTTCTGGGCTCGATCAGAACGCAACTAGAGGCTATTACGAGTTATGTCACTTTAATGTCCTTCCTATTGAAAAATCAGATTCAGTCTCTCATATCACTTGCTGTTGCTTCAAACAAAATGACGGAGTCCATTCAAGACGATCTGATCGCTAATCAAGAACTATATGTGATAAATGGGTCTTCCTCCGCGAAGTACATCAAATCACTTGAGCACCTTGATTAAAAACATAAAATGATTTCTAAAATATCTGTCGACGCCCAGTGTACAGTACACATGCTTTGCAAAGCCTGCAGTCGACCAAAATCTGCATGTTGATAACCAAGTTGTTTACGAACTGGGTGTCTAGTTCGTTACGCGACTTTAATTAGACTATGCATAGAAAAAGCCAAAATGTAACTCCGGAATTCCAGCCTAGTTTGACAAGGGTGGAAACAGGACTTTTATAGTAAGTTAACTCCCTTGCCTCAGGAAGACATGTTACACACTTGTGGAACAGAACAGCAAATTTACTTTTACATGGTTCTTATTTATTGGTTTTTCAATACCTACTGCGGTAATATTGAACCCAAGGGACTAAAAATATATTAAATACCCAAAGAAAGTATCAATACCCAATGTGAATGAGAAAAGTACTAAATGAATCAACAAATTCTGGAGCACAGGTGCATGGTCATCAAGCATGTTGGGTATCTTCCAAAAGGATATTTCACATAATACACTTTAATAAGAAACAATATTGGGCACTCTGAGAGGTGAACAAGGGTAAAAGCAGAACCATTATACTCATTAATAGACCAAAATGATAGATTGTTATGACCACCTTTGTAATTTATTTCATCATCATAATTTGTTCATTAAGTTGCATTATATTATTTAATTGCACTTATTTTAAATAATAATTGGAAAAAGAAAACAAAATATACCCAGAAGTTACACAAAGTATCAGGGATAACAACACCAACAGCTGAACATGTTAATTATACTGTGTCAGCTTATTCTGCCCATTTGTTGGCTTGCCTTCTGACTGAAGATAAACAGTCTGCAGAGAATACCTAAAGCAAATTAGAGGGTCCTTACTTTCAGTAGCGCAATGTAATAACCTGTATAGCATGTTGGATGATGCTTAAATTTACACTGACACCTGCAACAGTTGCAGTTCAGTTGCCATCTAATATTACAAGCAATAATTCATTTTCATAATTTTAATTACTGGGCTTTCATGTGTATTCCTGTGAACACATTTGCACATCATACTAATGACAATTTTGGCGTAGAATTTCAGCATTAGGAAAAACATTTAATGCATTCAGCAAAGCAGTTTCCATACAAGCTGAATGATAATGAATAATGAGCTATGTGACTACAACTCACATGGGTTTTCAGTCAATATGCAATTACATTACATAAGGACAGAAATAATTACATAGTCCTTCCACTTGAAATAGAATCACAAAATATTGCGATGATTAATTAATGAAGACAGCTGCATATGTGCTGATACGTATATAGGGAAAACAAGCCATTCCGTCAACAAAGAATACTTCTTAAAGTAATGACAAAAATTGCAAAGTGAGCTTTTCAAGAAATGTCAATTCTTTTTAGCACTAAACATCGTCATTGAGTTTTGATCACGTGGTAACAATCCGGGTAAGAATTGACAGTCAGGTGACTGTGAGCGGTTATACTTCGCAGTGACCTTGGATAATAACACATTAAATACAACATCTGCACATGTTTTTCTTACAGTTTGTGCTGGTTATGTAGGTACTCTGCACACACTGCTAAATATAGTCGCTCACAGTCGTGTTTTCACCTTATAAGTATTAGCACACATGCAGCTATCTTCGTTAATTAATCATCACGATATTTTGCGATTCAATTTCAAAGTGTCGAGGACATAAAGATACATACTTACGATTGAAATAAGCAGACAATTGCAACTGTTTCAATATCCCTTGCTACTTTTGATCAGCCATCATAAGAGAGGCACAAGACAGGACCAGCAAATAGTGAGTGAGTATAGTTTTACGTCGCTTTTAGCAATATTCCAGCAATATCACGCCGGGTGACACCAGAATTGGGCTTCACACATTGCGCCCATGTCGGGAATCGAAACTCGGGTCTTCGGCCCGACGAGTGAACACTTTAACCACTAGGCTGCCCGACCGCCCCTGGACCAGCAAATAGCAACTGACAGACAAATACATATGTCTGGAATTGTTACCAAGTATTCACATGGCAATTCACGATCTGCTCTTACCATGAGTAACATTGTAAAATAGGACTAGATATCAGCATAGAGCAACAGACAATTGACAGTTGGTATATTGTTAGTTGCATCTAACATGTCTAAAGCAGAGCATACATGCTTTCTTTATATTGATGAAGTTCAAATAGATCTTACCTACAACATGTACAATAATTGTGCCTAAAATAATCAGATAATTGAGGAAAATAAATTGATTTTGTTCAACTGTGTCTACACAAACAATCATTGAATTCATGGTGTCAAGACTCCTGTCAAGATTATGACACCTGTTGACAGGGTCACTTAGTCAAGACACACTCCAATGTGGTGTAGCTCATGGAATAGTTAAGCTACATATAAAATTCACATAGAATTACAGGAAAAATACAGTGTCAAGAGGTGTTACAACATTATAATTGACTAACCTCTAAGGAATTTCACATGACCCAACTTGGATCCAAAATATTACATGTCCGAAATTAATAAGCGTATTACATGTCAAATCATTGAGACAAAATCTGCCTTAGACGACTTGGCCACCAGTCCCCCCAGGATACAATGAACACAGTAAGCAAGGTCACCCTTGATAACCATCAAATCTTCTATATACAACATAGCTGCATGTACACTGATAATCGAGCCTTATCGTCCAGTAATTCCTAATGTAGTCTCTAGCAGGATAGGACAGTTTAAAATTACATCTGAAAATATCAGCCTAAAGTTTGCAGAGACAATACAGCTGCCATAGGCTTCGTGAACAGGTGCTTGTGACAGAAACCATGTTTCTAATTCTACTGACAATCCTGCCATACCATGTTCACATATCTGCTACATGCCATCTTGCACATAAATATATGCAGATACTGATAACAAGGTTGATAGCTGTGCCATTAACTGAAGTGACTAATTGTTGCTATGGCTGCTTGTTTAAAGTCAGATCACAATTTATTTAACACTCTTACATGACACCAATATAATGATTCATTAAAGAAGAAAAAAAATCATTCAATATAAATGAAAAATAAAAAGAATGCCTTTGGTTTTAGACCAGAATTTGTAATAAAATACTGGAGTCATGGGGAGAGACGAATAATATTACTGTCAGAAATATTCCAGCTGTATACCAATGCAACCTGTAAGTAGTTTACTCTGGACCAAGCAAAACGCTAAATGAATACATGAGCAAGCAATCCACCTCATCCAACAGCTTGACCACCCACTCCAGTATAATCATTGCCAAGCGACAAGCTATGGGGTGCTGTGGACCTGTCCTAACCTGGCTTCTCATAGACTTATGGTATACAGGTATCCCAACTTACAGTTAATGGCAAGATGTAGTATGCATCAAATGCAATGAGGAGACACACTATGGCCGTCACGAAGTAGTAGATGGCTGCAGTCCTGGTGTTTGGCGAAACTATCAACAAAAAGAACATTGTCAAGTAAGCATTATTTGTGCCCTACATTAACAATTCATCAGACACTCGATGATAACACATATATTCTTTAGAGGTTAAGATTATAAAGATGTCAATCAAGTATTTATACGGTGTTTTTTTGCTGTGACTTGTCAGTCGACAAGAAAGACAACTCAAATTCCAGTCTTTTGCCATAAGAATGTTGAATACCTATTAAATTAAGGGAGCAGAATGTACATGCTTTGATCCCATGGATGTGACATCCGGAAAGGTGCCAAAAGATAGTATGTGTTGTTACCCTACATGCTGCTCAGTAATAACAGGATAAAGCAAGGACTGGTCAAATCAGAGTCAGTTTTATGTGTCTGAGTTGGATATCCATGTTAACTCTGGCATGGGATCTCAGTGTGTTGGCCTAGTACAAGCAGCAACACATACACATGCAGGCATAACTATAGAAGTGAAATAATCTTGAAGACAATGTCAAATCCAGCATTAGAAATTGGCACTAGTCCTGTAGTCCTTACCAAACTGCCCAATAGTAAAGGTATTCTAAGGACAAGTAGAAATTGGCCCATTTTAGGGATTTTGCTATATGTTATCATTATAAGGACTAGTGGACAAAAACTGTTAGTTTCTAACCCTGAAATCCAATTTCACTTCACATCACCCATTAAACTATTGTATTCAGACTTGATATTACGTATCAGTCAGTTAGATGATCTCTTATATGTACTTACTGACAATGGATATAATATTGAACACAGCAACTAAAGTTCCAGATAAATTCTGAAAAGAAGACAAAACAAATTCTAATTAGGTATGCAAGGCAACCAAAGGTGTAGGCACTATTTTAGCCCTAAAAATCATATCTTTTTTATCATGCAGTGTTAACAATTATTTTAAAAGGTACGCCTAGACAGATTGAGGCATGATTAATTGATAGTAGCCTGTCCACCCTCACATTTGTACCACCAACTCTCACAAAATACTTTTCAGACAACATAGTATTTAACTAAAGGGCCTAAAAGTTAATTCTTCAGTACTTACATTTCCAAGGACGATGGCGTTTGTGAATCTCATGGGCAGATTAGCTGCTACACCATACATACTGTTCTGGTATATGCCACATGCCACTGAAAGATAAAACAAAAACACCACACATAAATATAGTATCAAAAACAATAATACAGTTGGCTATGTTTGTAAAGGGGAGTAACTCTTACAACCTTGTTGCTGCAATATGGGCAGAGATTGTTTCAGTTCAATTTCAGGTGAAAAATTGAAATCCTACTATGAATATACTGTAAACAGTTTTATTTCTGCGCCGTTAAAATATTGCGAATACCACACCAAAGACAACACTGCGACGAGATATTTTTGCGAGTTGCCGTGTTGAGATGACCCCTCGATTACCAAACAATAGACAGCTTCTCTCCGAAGCTAGTTAATCTGAGTTGGCCGGAAAGTTGACCAGTGTACTGAAACCGATTCACGCAAGATGGCTTGTTTCCTGTGTGGACAAAATTGCAAAGGACACTGACGCAATCAAGCGAGGTTGGAAGAAGGCAGGATTACTGTGAGGTAACAGTGACACTAATTGGTCTGTTTACACTGTCATTTGTGATGTATTGTGTGACCATTCTGCATTCATTTGTGTTTTTAACTTATAGAGTAACTTGTGGTTCTGGTTGATTATTTCAACATTTGATGACGTGTTGCAATGAATAAAGTATGTATGTATTATTTATACTTATTTTTGCGTTTTTAATTTTTGCGATTGAGTCTCGTTCGCAAAACTCGCCACATTGTAAGTTAAAGAAGCATACAGAATTAAACAGTCATCAAAATTATTTCATCAGTGAAACCATGCAATTGGTCTCCCAATCCTGTAAGTATACAAAAAGTGGGATTATATTGAAACAAAAACCAACCAAGAATATGTTTGCCAAATGAATCACCATAATTAATACAGACAATCTTAATAAGTAATTTTAAGGACAGGTGGCCAAGTCGTATCATACTGACAGATATGCAATGGTTCCTGTCCATGACATTTTAGTCTCTTTCATCTGACATGTCTAATGAAGTGAGTGAGTGAGTGAGTGAGTTGGGTTTAATGCTGCTTTTAACAATATTCCAGTTATAACGCGGCGTGTCAGCTTAATGTGGGAGGAAAGCCCGAAGAGATGCAGGTCTCAGACGTTTAACCACTTCGGTGAAACCCACGAGTCCGGGTATGGTGCTGACAAACCTAGAAACATAATCGGGGCGACCAGGATTCGAACCCACAATCATAGGTTGTTTCTGGCGTGCCCTAGGGACGCAACTCTGCACAGCGAATCGTGGCGCCTTAGACGACTGGGCTACCCGTGCCCCCTGTCTAATGAAGAGAGGGTAACGATATTGAGCATGTTGAGACTACTTGTCTCATTACAAATTAGTGTGCATGATATGTTGCTGTCACTACAGTTAACATGGTACAAATGTTTGTGTTAAAGAACACTAAAGATCAACTTACTGTTTAAAACTGCTACAGATGCCATAGTCACCCAGAAGAAAAGCTCAGGCCCTGTCACAAACACACATTTATTAATATGAATATATTTATAACATAATATATTTTATATTGAATGTCCAACGATAAAACATATACATCACAGATGGAATATGCAAATATGGCCTCAAAATGGTCCCAAAAGATTTATATTGGAATAATGTACAGTTTTCCTGTTTTATTGGTGCAGTGATTATGGAAAGGATATTAAATAACGTAAACAGTTCCAAAACAGGACTTCTGACAGACAACATGCAATGATAAATAGTACAGAAGAGCTTGTTACCCAGGGCTAGTGAGTGAGCGAGTAAGTAAGTAAGTATGGTTTCAGGCCCCTTTTAGCAATATTCCAGCAATATCACGGCGGAGGACATCAGAAATGGGATTCACACATTCTACCCATGTAGGGAATGGAACACGGGTCTTCGGTGTGATGAGCAAACACCTTAACCACTGGGCTACCCCACTTGCCCCTCTCCCATAACTAAAAATAATAAACTTGCTGAACAAGCAAAATGGAGAACTCTACTTATTCCCTGTAAGGATAAGTAGATAAAGGAAAATATATTGTTACTTACAAGCAAAGGTATCTATCATAGCCAGCACCACAGTAACAATGAAGACACACACCATGATTAGAAGGCTGAGAACTATACGCAGACTTGGACTGCCGCTGGGGAAAATAAATATATCTCAATAAGATTCAATTCTATGTGTTTACACTTTACAGTAAACGACAATGCTCTAGTTACATACCAGGGATTTATCTAGACCTGATAAGAGGTCAATATGTAGCCAAGTCTGAAAGCAAATATCAGCCATAATTCCCAAATTGGGATTAAACAGTTCCCAATTCATGCTGTTTTAGTTATAACTATTTCACTGACAGCACTGACTAACAGCACCAATATAGAAGAGGCTTTAATGCTTAGTTTAACATTATTGTATTAAATGCTATGTTTAAATTCAATGTTAAAATACCTCTGAATTTAGGAACATAAAAACATTAAGAAAAACCCAATTTGAACAAAATAACAATATTTCCAATTTGTCTGCCAGGGGCACTTAGTTTGGAATCCTAGATAAATCCCTAAACATGCCAAATATCTCCCATCATGGTTGGAAGTGAGGCAAAGATTGTAAACAAATTATAACATAAAAGGAACATTTCAAGACCTATAAAATCCATTATTATACAATACAGGCAATAATAGAATTGAAATAAATTATATTCTGGTATCATCTACCGTGTATTAGGTAATGATTAGGCTTCTAATTGTTATAGTGAGATAGACATGGTAACTGTGAAAGCTTTTTCCTTGAGATCCAACAATAACAATTCTGGGCCACAGTATCATCAAACACATGTCTAATACACACCAGATGTTGTCTAGGTATACAATGTTTCTTAACTAGGGAACTGCTGGTCATGACAATGTTTATTTTAAAGTGTCTTGTTCTAGTCGGCAGCAGAGTCCCTTTACCATATTATTTTCTCTTTTGCCAATCCCTTACTGTATTTCTATAGCCCTAAATGTAGCAAGTCTAGATTTTCCACAGGTTCTGAATCTCCCATCTCATTGGGGCTCCTTTTCAATTTACATGTAGTTGCTTGTATCTATCAAACTTATATATTTTCAGGGACTAAGCAATAGTCTAGCAAACATGGGGCTGCATCTAATCCTGAATGTTAAAATTGTCTTGCTGTACCGGTTTACAGCACAAACAAATCTGGCACAATACTCCTTCGTAGTGGATCCTGAGATAGAGACCTCTTCCTGAGGCCAAAATTACTGACTGAACTAATTCCCTAACAACTTCTGTCAAGGAAAGGAGATGGCACTTTTGGGGCTCTAGCATCATGCCAAATTATACAAGGCAGTCAATAATATCATCATGATGTTTAGTAAAGGTACCAGTCTGTGCCTAAAACTTTTGAGTCTGCAAGCACGAACCTGTCACTTAACATCACTAAATCTTAGTGTTAATGTATGGACTTATATTTGTATTGCTTACAAGAGAAATTTTACAAGACTCAGGGCTTCAGAATAGTGGCTGAGATCAAAGACTGAGGTACGCATCAGGTCTGCATTGTTCTACTTGTTGCATACTGGTAGTAGTACAAGAAGCACAAGTGTTACCTTCCACACTGACAGAAGAGGTTGAACGCACTCATCAATACATTGGGCACCTGTGAGAAGATTCCTACATAGCTCATGAAGTTCTTGCTGTACTCAGCTACTCTGTCATTTGAGGTCTCGGTCGAATTCAACTTGAAATTCTCAAAATACTGAAAAAGACAAAATAATGTATAATTTTTATACTTTCCAAATGAACTGTAAGTGTAGCCATTTAAGTGATAATAAATTTGCTTCTGCGAATAACATGATTAAGTTGCAGGTTATAATCATGTTTGTTTGTTAGTAACGCTGCAACAGTACTTCAGTACTTCATACATAACTAATCACACTAATAGCTGATGTTTTTCATTATGACCCTTACGATGATTACAGGGCCACTAATCTCTGATAAGGAAATATCACGTGCTGTCTGTGGGGTTTGGGCTTATATGTGGTCAGTTATATGTGGAGAAATTCCACCTGAGAGAGTACATACAGCAAAAAAAATCAAGGTTTTCTGAAAACTATTGTGAATTAAGCTTAAACGCAAAACACATGAACATGATGAACAAAAAGAATATATTCATATCATAAATAAGAATACATTTTGGGGGCCAGCATGGTCACCAGTTGACAGTACTCTAGGTTTCGTTTCCTACTATTGAAAATGTGATGGCACATGCTCTACGGTAATTCCAAAGAAACTTGGACGCAGCTCTTTCCAAACACCCAAATATATCTCAGCATACAAAAAAATGTAACAACTTGTAGCACTTACATCTTTGGCATTTATGAACATATTCCAAGGCATCAGGATTCCTATTCCATGAATAACCATTATAATGTATACCAGGAAAAACCTGTAACAAAACAAAGTTCATATATAATACAGTGTTCACTCATTATTGCGCCCTTCAATATAGCGCTAACTCGGTTATAGCGCATGGTAAAGCATGGCTCCTAAAATTTACAAACATTTTCAAGAAACTCAAGTTTTCCAATGACACGATGTTTTCCTCCATCTCAGAAAACATTATCAGCTGATCACCGCAATCAGGTAACACCGGAAATACCAGTCAACAAATCCAAACTGAAACACGCAATTGAATCCTATTATTATAATATCTGGTAATAAAAAAAAATGTTCATTGTTTATCTGGACTAATGTTTGCAATATATATGTTTTAATTATATTCAAAATTTCATTCAATAATTATAATAATCATGATAATGTTTACAATAATTTCAGCAAAATCGTATCCGAAGTGATCAGTGGATCGCACAACTCACCGTTATTAACAACAACCACTGTCAGATTACCGCTATCTGGCTATTGACGCCTTGAAACGAACTAGTTGCAAGAGAATGGTTACACATACCATAAATGCCGTACCATGACTCGCTAAAAGTCATATTTGAGGCAGTTTGACAATTAAATGTTACCATAAAGTTTTCGAAATCGAAATACATGTTGCGCAGGAAGTCCCTAGGGTGACTGGTCAAAATCGTTCCATACGTCAAAAAATATCCTGCATACAATCTGCCTTTGAGAGCAGGAAATACATTTTAAATGGTAAATCATCATGTCTAGTGATGTTTTATATCAAATTTCATACTTTTATTGGCCAAGTTTGTTATAGATCTACCTGCGATGTGTTGGTTTTTTTGAAAGCGCATATTATACTCGATAAATCTTTTTTTACTCTATGAATCATAAATAACTTCTATTCTAATCTTTTTGGAAACTCTGAAATGTGCAACGTAGATCGTGTTAGGTAGGCAGAGCATGTATACGGTTTTGTTGGTCATCTACCACCTACGACTCGACCTTGAACCACTGATCATCTATAACGCTCATCAATTATTTGGACCCCGAAGGTAGCGTTGTAGCAAGGGATCACTGTAATTATGTAGTTATGAAAACGTCACTTGATCATGTTGATGATATATTTGGCTTCAACAATAGTGAGTGAGTGAGTGAGTGAGTGAGTGAGTGAGTGAGTGAGTGAGTTGGGTTTAACAAGACTAAAGAATAAATGAATATCTTCTGATAAATACTTCTGAATTAATTTTTACTTTCTATCAAGTAATCTGGTCGTGTAAATTGTTTTTCAGAAGCTGGAAACTTTGTTCAAGCCGTTTCCATTTAAGATCAAAGCAGAAAGAAGAAATGCATAGTGGGAGATAGGATAAGTTTAAAAATAAACAGCTTGTTTGGCTGGTGTTTCAATGGCAGATATCAATAACATTGTTTTCCACAAACAAATCAATTGAATAACCTGTCAGTTTCAGCCTACCTGTCTGATGGCTGCTGTTTTTCTAGTTCTTCCACTTTAGTCTGAAGACGGAAGTTGAGTTCATCTGGGTTGCGATCCGTTGCCTCCCAACCAGGGTCCAGTTTTACTGGAGGGGGTAGGAAACGAAGTCGCTCCTCTGAGGTGCCACCATCTGAAAACATTTCACATTTCTATTGAGTCTTCTTTCAAGTTGACAACATCATGATGATCAGCAGCTGATCATGGCAAGCAACTTTGCATGTTATTCATGCAACTCTCGTCACTATGTCAGAAATAATGACGATGTGACGTTGTGGCGTGAAACTCACTCACTCATTTAGTTGTCTACATGGTCTATAAAATTTTGAAGCAGGATTAATACTTAAATGCTGTGGTAACCACGTCAGGGTATCATGACACACAATCAACCAAGTCACTGATCCTGACAACCCGACCCATTTTTTCGCTTCTTATGACAAGCATAGGTTGCTGAGAACCTATTCTCACCAAGATTCTCTACAGGGTCTTGCTATCATGGCTATTACAATGACTACATGCCCCTACTAAGTGAACTGTTACAACAGGCATGGGATACTGGGAAACTGGGGACCTACTCTAACCTACAGGGCTATAATGAAGACAAGCAATATGTCCGACAGGGTTCCTGTCTAGTAAGCTCTTAATTAATTATTCATGTGTGGTAGTACATGTAGCATGCAGTCTTAATTTGCTTCTTTTCATTAATACCAAAGACGTATGACAAGGGGACATTGTCAATTGCATCTACACCCAGTGACTGAACAGACATGACTGCAAAACACAGGTGGTAAACATGGTAAATGGACAAGTATTAGATTTTGACAGTTTTAGGTGCTCCAGCTAAAACAAGCTTTCTTTAGATTTCCACATCTCTACGCATCATAACTCATTCAGAGTAACTGGAGCGTAAGATTATTTTAAAAGAGGATTACTCCTTGTAATCCAAGTGCCAGTACGTCCCTGTCAAGGCTGAATGTGCCACAAGGCACAACAGGCATTCTTTGGCTTCCAAGGGTAGGCTTCATATATATATTTTGTTTACACATGGTCATTTCCTCCCTGTCTGTAATTACAGGGGTAGAAATGTTGGGGTTTCTTTAAGTATGCCACAAGGTACAACAGGTATTCTTTGGCTTAAAAGGGTAGGCTTCAGATATATATTTTGTTTAAACGTTGGGGTTTCTGTAAGTATGCCACAAGGCACAACAGGCGTTCTTTGGCTTCAGAAGGTAGGCTTCATATATATATTTTGTTTACACATGGTCATTTTCTCCCTGTCTGTAATTACAGGGTCGTTTATTTCTTATATGAGATATCAAAATTATGTACAACCTCTTTAAGGATGTTGATAAAATGTACAAGCTTTAAAAATATTCACCTAAATTTTAATGAAGATGACGCCCTACATAGAATCCAACCTTGGAAATGTCAGACAAATCCATTTTATGAACAGAGGGCTTAAGTTTAATATTTCCTGCATATTCTCACAATCCTCACTTCAATTATCTCTACCTTCTCCGAGTACTGATTGTCATATCTCTCCCACTTCGACATACGGAAATGGGACTTGTCAATTGTCGGGATATTTGACATCCAGAAATATCCAGAAATGCCTCCAGTATTAAATGTTCACTGAACCATGTTAACATTAACTTACAATCTACCTGTCAAGAATGTACAGTTTATATAGCCGATGCATCAAGTACCTGCCTCCAATGCAAGCATTTATTGCTCAACAAGGAAATATGCAATGTTCACCTAACAATGTTACACCTCCAGGTCAAAGGTCTTTTGTAAAGGCAGAAATTAACAGCTAAAAACGCCCTAAACATGCTTACAAATTCAGTAAATAATTGATGATTGACATTCAAATTTGTTTTTAGATACTTGTAAAAGTAAGGAAATATGTGCATTTGCGATGAACATATTTTGTATGAACATGATAAATGATGTTTTCAATTAATGATAAATGCAATATTCAAAGCCATGTCAAAGCAATACAATAATGCCATGAAGGTATTTTCAAAACATTCAAGTCAAAACCTTGTCAACAGGTTCAATATGATCAAGACAAGAAAATTTAAGTTCAGGACCTCGTCAACAAGTTAAATATTTAAATAACTGTTAACATGGTTAATGTCATGACTGCAACTATAGTCTTCAACATCATTAGTCTGTGATTTTAGCCAAAAGCCAGAGGCTAGTAAAATATCTTCCGGTCAAGACAGATCTGCATATTCTAGTCCAAGGCGTCAAAAGCGGTAATCTGACCGTGGTTGCTGTCAGTAAGGGTGAGTTGTGCGATCAATATGGAATGAAATTTAGAATAAAACTGAGAAAAATACATTACAAACATAAGTCCAGATATACAATGAACACGATTTTATAACTGGATAGCATAATAATGGGATTGCATATTTCAGTTCAGATTTTTTTACTGGTATTTCCGTTTTTTGAGATAAAATTGAGTTTATTAAAAATGTAAGTCAATTTTGGGCGCCAATTGTTACCGCGTGCTATAACCTGAGGTATTGAAGGGCGGAATAGCGACAGAACAATATATATGCTATGAAAGTGACACTTGAGTTTATTGTTTTTGTTCATACATCCAGCACCTCAGATATGAGGTGGGCGTGACCAAAATGCAAATGTCCAATTGGCAAAAAAATATTTCTGGATCTCTGACTCAGACTAAAATCTACTGAAAATAATGCCAAAATACAAACTGGGAAAGTAGACTCAAAAGCTTTTGCCACAGACTGCATTATTGGTAATGCAAAATCAGTTATTCAATCTCACCTGGTGTGCCATTTCGGTTTGGTGAATTTTTCCACGGATTCGCATACAGACTGTTGGTGACAACATGAGTGCCCTCTTCGTCCCCACCCCGTTTTCCGAAAGTTGAGAGGGGGAGTGATTCCCCTTGTGCTCTGTTGCGTGACGTCATGGCTAATGATAATTATATCCTGAACAAAGATCAGCTTCCACTACAGTTCCATCACAGCATACATCTGAAAATACAATACAGTCAGGTTTTCAGGTCATTTCAAAATTCCAAACCAAGTTCACCCTGAAATGACAGTTGTGACAAAGCACTTAAAACATGCACAAACTGAAGGGAAAGTGACATGTCACTGAATAATCATCTTAACAAGTAAGAGCTGTTTTTATCAATCAATAATACCCTTACCTTGTGTACGCTATTCTCACTGGTTAGACATGATACAATTGTCATATGATTGATATGCAACAATTAAAATTGTAAGGCTCTTGACATGATCAATGATGATTGACGCAGGAATCTAGCATGCTTAACACATTTTTTTCCATAAATTTTGTATCAAAAATAGCATGTCTGCTAGCAAGGACAGTGATTTACTTTAATTTTTTTTTTCAAAAGTGGGATTTTTGAACATTGTAATTTAAGATTGAATTCAATTCAATGACATAAAACTAAGCATTAAAACCTGTTTCTCTCGCTTTGTCCTTTTATCAGTGAAATATGGTATACCTCTACAACAAAGCCATAAAATTAGTTGTAAGTTATATATATTCAAAATAATCTTAATCTCTATAACAGTGAAATTTAAAATTCTAATCCTGGAATGATTAATGACATTTGCTGCAGACTTGGTGCCGAATATCAGCTTCTGAGCAGGCCTCAATGTGATACAATTTGTATCCACATACGGTAATCTTATTTCATAATTTGATATTCTTTCTTTTGCAGGTGAAACAACCCTGAATCATTTGTTTTTAAATTTCAGGGATCGAAGATGGGATATTGTAGGGCAGAAACATACAGGCTATAGGGCACTGTGAATGTTACGCTAACTATAGCCAACCTGGACATACTAGAGAATCTGTGTAGTCTGATCATTGAACTGTTTCTGTTATTATTGATGTGTTTTACACCAAAGAAAATTGTAATGTAATGAATTTTGATACTGGGGTTGTAAATCGATGTGGCCTCACATCGGGAAACAACAATGTATCGCTTACACCACTAGTCCAATCATAACCCTTACTTTTTTTCTGAAAGTAAAATATTTTGGTGAACCCCAGATTCAAATATGACAGAACTAAACCCCAAGTACTCTGATGACAAAAGAATGATAAGGAAATCATGGTGATATGAGTTACACTGCCTCGGAGTCTTCACTCAGCTCAGGGCTAAAAGTAACAATGATTAAACCTGCATCAAAGAGTGTCACAAAACATGCAAAAGGTGTAATCATGGTCATTAGGGCTGTGTATTGACCTGGATTTTTTATTGCAATATATTGCCATACCTTAACCTGTATTGAGATAAGTATTGCAATATATTGCCAATTTACATTTTGTATCCCTGGGCAACAATCAAGGGAGATAAATGGTCTCATGGAAGCGCAAGCTCCTTCCAAACGTGTGACACCTTTGTTATACTCTCGGTATAGAGAGCCCCCCGGATGGGCTATTGTTGTGATGTGTACATGCTAAAAAGATCAGAGGCAAGTTGTATCAGAAAGATACTATTTCCCATCTCCATATTGATAAGGAACACATAAACATACTTATTCATATTAGCCCCAATATATTGCTACAATTACAAACATATCACAATACGTATTGCTGAAGAATATACCAGTGTACCGGTAATACGGCACAGCCTTAATGGTCATGCCGGCACATTTTCATCCAAAAAAAAAGGAGTAGAAATCTAATGCAATAACAATCTTGACCTTCTCGCGGGAGAAACAGCTGTTAATAATTGTAATCAGCAACGGTTCACATCATCAGGTAAGAAATGCATGCATAAATAGTAACAGCTTCGTGGAATGATTGTTTATATAGAGGATTAACCACTGTGTTCGGTTGCTCCCATAACAATATGCCATAAAAAGTAGAGCTCGTAGTTGAAGATTTCCCGTGTTTAGTAACCACTCGGGATTCCCCCCAGCCTCGTTTTCGAATATGCTCAGTAAGACAACTGTACCATAAACAGGTAAAAAGGATCTAGCGAAGACAACTCACACGAATTTTCCGTGACAGGCAAGCCACTTGTTAGCATTCATGTTATGTTTTTTGTTAACTATTAAAAGCTGATGAGGGTAACGTTTTGAGAATTAGTAATGTGATTTGGTATTTGTTAATGGTTTTGGATTTCTCGGCCCATAACTTTATTTGCATTCGTCTCGCCGTGACTTTCATTATCAATGCGCAACACTAAATAGGCCCACATTTTTAGTGTATGTAAATACGTTATTCGTTTATTTGTTCGCTAGAAACAAATGTTATAAACCCAATTAAGAGGAAATTAAATATTTTCTTATATATTGTGAACTATTGTTAACGAAAAACAAGTGCCCAAAGGAACTGTCAGCAGGATTGATCAGGCAAGATTCTATGATTACCAACTCAGGCAACTGATCAGCTGATTACGTCTTCTCAAATGCTTCAATCGATTGTAATATTTTTGGACGAATTTACCTCTTTAATACTAGTTTTACAGTGAATAATTTAATGTGTAAAATGATGAATATTTCATGTAATCTTTTTTAAAATTATTTTTGTTCCTGAACATTGTGAGCCCATGTGTTTTTATGATATAAAAAAAACCTTTTTCAGTGGACAGTTTTTCTTTTGAACATAATATTGAACATCATGACACCAAATGTTACAAAATGAGTCATCTAATTTCCCCATATTTGTGAATGACAAGAAACAATGTGAATTTGACAAGCACAATAATTTTTTGTGTGTGAAACATAATTACATAGGGTAGTATGTAAACAATAAATTATCATTTCAGTAGTTCTACAAATATTTGCATTTTAATACCCTTGTAATTTTACATTGTAATTTTACTGCAACAGTTACCTCCAAACTTTATTCTTTTGTTATTTTATCAGATTAGAAGTTAAGACTTACTGATAAGCTAATTTAAAATTAACATGTTCTTAAAAATTGTTTTTATCTTCATGAAAACAAGACATAATAATAAATATGTATTTTAGTGACCTGTTCATATGTGATTTTTTTTGGCAAAAAGTATTAAAATTTAAATTAGATATGCTAATGTAAAGAAATGGGGTTTATGGTAAAATGTAATAAGAGGACCTCTTGTTGGTCATTTCTTCATCACCCATAAATTTCAGTTTTTCTTTACTTACCATGTTCTGAAAATTTACACATTAGAATAATTTAAGGTCTCTGATTAAAATAGCGACACAACTTTCCACTCCCAGGCAGCCAATTAGATTATGTGAAAAAAATAAACCACTGTAAACCTTGTAATAGGAGAATAATAAATAAAAATACATTTCTTATTTTGTCATATGACCAGTTTATCATCCCAAGAAATGCTAAATAATTATCATTAAAATTAAGCTAGCTATGCATATTGGGACTCTTTATCTGCTATGATAATATAACAATTGCATTTCTAAAGAAGTGGGTTTTTTCAGTAATCATGGAAAATAATAAATCTTTGGTTTAAAGAATATACTTGAGACAAACCTAATTCTACATGTCTTAATACTCTGTATTGTCTGTAAATTCTGAAAATAATTGACTGTGATATTGAGTTTCTACCTAAAACTAATAAAAAATACCAAATAATTATAGGCCAAAATACATTAATTATATTGATCTGGGTAAACTCCACCTGTTGAAAGGGGAAACAACTGCTGTGGTTGAAAAACATCTTGGTCGTGAGATGTACGGTCCGTCCGGCAAAGATTGATCGTTTCCTGCATTAAAATTGAGTATTGCTCTAGATCCAAATTATCTGAGTGTTTATTTTCTTAAAATATGAAATTTAAGTCTCAATTATTTTAATAGATCTATGAAATATGTTTTTGATCGATCAGCTCTAGATCAACACTTTGTTGTAACGTGGCCGAAATTTATGTGGTTGACAGTTGTTTTTTTTAAAAATACCCAACAATATGGTTTGTTTCACTATTTCATCGGTATTTTTACATGAATTAATTAACTGTTTCATGAGCTTTGTTATTAGCCTTGAAAACGCCCAGTAAAGAATGTACCGAAGTTGCTCCCCTGCTCCCGTGATATCGATGCGGTATCTCGCTTCGGTTACCGTTTTCTCATTCTGCAACTGAATCTGGTACATTGGGAAGCCGAAATTCTCTGATATATCTCCACATATCACACCCCTTTTTCCCCCACAAACTGTCTCTCCGTCATCAACTTTCGGCAATGGAAACATTGCCACTACGGTAATATTTTGCCAGCTGGGGATTTCCTGTACTAGACGACCTCGGGTATCCCCGATCCGAAAATAGTGCAGTCAATTATTTTTAGCCAGCCAATCAAAACACGATGACACAACTCTCCACTCTCAGCCAGCCAATCAGATTGGGTGAAAAAAAATAAACCACTGCGAATAAACCACTGCTGGCGATTGAAGATCAAGCCCTGTTATGGGAGAAACCAAGTACATACAACACTTGTACCATACAGTTGTGCAGTAATATCCATTACACAGTGTTTGTGGTGTGACTGCTGTCACAATTAACAATTATTAACAGTGAAACAAGCATATAATTATCCAGTATAACTATTAGCTGTAATCAAGTGCCTGTAATCTGCAACAGAAACTACTACAATGATGCCTGAATCTAGTAATTATCACTTGGCAATTAGAAGTTGGTGTGATGAACAAGGATAATTTCTTCAGTGTAGAATCTTCACCTAACATTGCCACTATTGTAATAAATAAGTTGATAACGAAATCAGTTGACAAAGGTCGTTATACGATACCTGTCGGGATATGCATATTTACGTCAAATTGTGTGAAAACATCATAACCATAAATATTTCAGAGCAGGTTCAAAAGGAAAAGCTAGCTGTAGATACTTGTTTATTGCGGCTCTTTATAGTAGTGAACTTAATTCCAACACAGTTTGCAATTTTTGACTGACAAAAACGCTGGGGCAGTAATGTAATGTCTATTATCGATACGGAAAAAAATGTATCGTGTATCGTATCGATGCATGAAAACTCATGATGCACCGGTGCACCGACATATTGTTACCATGGTTACACCTCTATAATCAATACACCGATGCGCATGAAGTGATATTTGCACTGGTGAACATACCATTTTTAAGAACTTGGTTATTTACTCTCTTGCTGTCAGTCATGTCAGCTGAAATAAATTTCATGTCATGTTAATAAATTAACTGATGTTCTCACAATGGCAAGGTTGAGTGTTAATAACACAGCCCTACTTCACAGCATTTTCACACTGCAACGGCATACTTTTGGTGATCATTTAAAAGAAAGGTGATAAGGTATAGCAAAAGTGAGTTCTGCATTGCAATTAAGTTGTCGAGCCAAATATTTGTGAGCATGTTCTATTGGGACACTATAACTGCAAACACTATCTAAACCCAAGCATAATCACATGATAATGTCATTCCTTTTCCAGAAACCTCAGTTAAGAATGTCCGAGGTGCGACAGCTGGAGCATACATATCAATAAGTATATGTTGACAACATCAGCATTATCCGTCTGAGACTTTAGTCACAAGGTCACATTACCACACTAGCATGCTTGGCTTGAGGACAAATTGAAGCCCAAGACTAGTCAAATTTAGACAGGAGTCTAGTAAGAACAACAAACAAAAGTTCATGTATTAACACTTAAACCTACAGAGATAATACAAATGACAAGTTCTGGACAGTGAAACTAGCATAGTTAGTGTTGTGTAAGAGATCCAGCAATCTCTCTCACATACTGTATTCACTGTATCAAGTACCCTGCTCCAGTAGGTGTCACCTGGCCAATTCCTAGAATAAGCATCCATTCCAAAGGTTGAAAATTTACAGGACAGGACACTTTTCTTGTGTATATAATTGATATTTTCCCTGAAAGTTGCAGCATAGAATTAGAAGCGGTTCTTGTCTTGTAACTATTATCTAAACAGTTTTAGTTTTATTAACATTTGAACTAAGTTTTTTCACTACTGCTTGATCTCGAAAAACAGATTTAACTTCTTGTGTATGGTTTTGATAAGCACCCCCTTTGTCAATTATTAAATGCCTGGGGCACCCATTATGGCAAATATGGTATTATGATTAAATAATCATGGCAATGATAATGCTAACATGAAATAAAGAGTGAATCATTTAAATCTGGTTGAAAATGGTTACCTTGATTCTAAAACTTAAGCTCAAAGCATAACACGCTTCCAAAAAAAGCTACAGTTGTTTGTGAGAAATTGTGACATCTGGATTGACCAGCTTTAATCTATAAACATTTCTTCCTACTATGCCATCTGCTCACAAAGTGCTGAATATTGATTTTGCATTTGGCAGTGCATTGTTAAGCAATAAACATGAGAAACATGTGATTTCCTTCAACTCAATGTGGGAATTCAAACAAGCAATTTCACAAATTGCTGTAAATCACTTTTGTGTTTAAGTGTGGTTGAAGTCTGGGAATGATAAAAGTATGGAGATTGACCGAGCGTGTACTCTTACTTTATGCCACGTGTACTGCTACATTTGGACAATAACTTACAGGTACAAGTAATTAGGAATGATACAGCTATAGAAACTGCCACTACACTACAACATGAAAACCAAACCAAAATTCTTGATTGTTAAATTAGTATTACAATTACCAAAGTTAAAAGTCTTTTTGCAACATCTTTTAAAAATCATAAGGCTTATTGACATAGTTGAGCAAGAGTTAATCCAAAAACCTGAGTGGTGAGTGAGTCATTGTCTTTATTATGTTTATTAACCAACATAACTAGCTGATAACATCAATTTAGTCTGCAAGTACTGGCTTCTAAAACACGTTGAAGTGCAACCCTGAAACCAGTGTTTGTTCATGTCATTTGTTGATATATGAGTATGTAATTTCACAATGACTACAAGTGCGCTGTTGTGACAAAAAAATTGTATTCAACAACACACAAGCTGAAGATTTCACAACAGTTAATCAGGTGAGCTATCAAAATGATTATGCAACAGAACTAACATGAAACCAGTTTGGGACTCATAAATCACAGCAGCATTTGTTCCAAACTAACTTTCACAATTAGGCATGTTAGTTGTAACAAAGAAGAATGTGGTAATGTAAACTGGGAAGGCGTTTCCAGGACATGCACAAACAGAAGCATCATCATACCCACCTTGTCCAAAGTGAATATCCCATAACAAAGCCCCACCTGAAACATGTATCATGAACCATTTTGACTTTACAAAATCAGGTGACAGCTCACTTCAGCAATAGTTATCTATACTCATCATTGATCGCCTGTCAAATGCAGTACAACTTAGTCCTCTTTAGACTCGTGAAGATCTGGGGTAGAATAGGTCTTCAGCAACCCATGCTTGCCATTAAAGGCGACTTTGCTTGTCGTAAAAGGCGACTAATGGGATCGGGTGGTCAGGCTAGCTGACTTGGTTGATGCATGTCATCAATCCCAATGCGTGGATCGATGCTCATGATATCAATCACTGGATTGTCTGGTCCAGACTTGATTATTTACAGACCGCCGTTATATAGCTGGAATATTGCTGAGTGCGGCATTGAACAACTATTAAACAAATAAATAGTCGTCTTTTTTCCTCCAGCTAACATACAATTTGCACTTCCAGTTTAATGCCATGACTTCCAGTTTGGAAAACATGTCCAATGTAAAATAACCCAAGGATGTGGTCACATTAATAAGAAAGTTACATGCAATTCCGGTGTAATGATATAATTCAAGATTGGGTAAAACACACTTCAAATGCAAGACAAATTTAACATAGAAAGTACCATGCCTCTATCTACATGTTAATAAGAAATTTGGTTTAATGACCTTGACCCTTAACGTGAGCCAAACACATGATTTTTTATTTCTAGTTGAAAATATGTGGAAGTTCTTATAAACATTTCACACAAACGCAGGGGTTGCTTCAGTTCACAAAGAAGTCAATCCACCTTAAAAAAAACCATTCCAGTGACCTTTAACTTAAATGAAGGTGGTTCAAAACCTTACCACTTCAATGCCTCATCCGAAGGATGATATAGGCCAAATTTCATCATAATACAATGAAAATATCTCGAGTTGTTGTGAACATAATATACCGGTATTTAGCATTTGACCTTTTGAGTGAATTTTACCTTCAAAATCTGCATGATTAGTTGTACGTACATGTATTTCCAAAACATTCAAAAGAGCAATCCAGCATATTAACTAAACGTGATGACACTCGGTGGAATTCAATGTCACAACAAACATTGCATACGTTACTCACTAAAAGTAGGTCACTATGACCTGTCATCACTTGTCATACATGTATTGAAATAACAAAACTTGTCATCATGAGCATGGTTATAATTGTTAAATGTTTGAGATATAGGGGTCCACAGACATGATAGATCCAAATATCATAGGAGAAAACCTGAACAACCCCCTCAATAACGTACACTGCTATGCATGAACCAACAGTCTTAGGCTTGACGTCATCGAACTGTGATCTGAGATTTTAATTATTTAGACTAGCTTTCGTATCTGCGTTTCAACTTGGAGGAATTAGTGAGTATGGTTTTACGCCGCTTTCAGCAATATCACGGCGGGGGACACCAGAAATGGGCTTCACACATTGTACCCATGTTGGGAACGGAACCCGGGTCTTCGGCGTGACAAGCGAACGCTTTAACCACTAGGCTACCCGACCGCCCTTGGAGGAATTAATGGAACCAGGGTGCAACCTGGGTTTTTCTGATTCAACTAGACATGTTAGATGCAATTGGTGCAAGTTAATCAAGTTCCTTAAATCGAGACCTGAGTACATTTTACTTGACCTTGTCTGTTATTTAACAGAGCGAGATATGCAAAATAGAATATATATAAGCCATGCAGTAGCGTAACTTGTGTCAGTTTACCAAGGCTCCTGATCTTGCTTATGGTACTGTCAACCAAAGCATTAAGCTGTAGGCCGCATTGTCGTGATGTACTGCTCATTTGCTTCACAAAAAGTACCACTGAAATGTTTCAACCTAAGCAATCACTTGACGTACATTTATGTACATTTCAAATAAACTCATGTTTTACACTGACACAATGTTTTTCCCCCACTGCAGACATTACCAGCTGATTGACATTACTGTGAGCAGGTAACACCAGTCAAAAATGCTGCAACCAAAATAACATGATACTGGATTATCTTATTCCTGATAAAATAATAGTTCCAGATATTCTTCTTCCGATCATTGCATCAAAATTCTGTGAACTTATATTATTGGGTATTTTTTAACTCAATCACCAGTAGATTTTACGAGAAAATGTGTATACAGCTGATTACTATTTCCGGCTTAGTTTACGAGAAAATACACAAGGTAATCTTAATCTCTGCATATAAAACAATGCCTAGCAATGCCTAACAGAAAATACAATTTAAATGGTAAATCATCTGTCTAGTGATGTTTTGTCTCAAATTTCACCTTTTTATTGACCAAGTTTGTTATCACCTGTTTGTTGACATGAATTTGTTGGAGGACTACGATGAAGTTTTATACTGCGTATAATACTCGATAATTTATATCTTACACTATGAAACATTAACAACCAATATATTCTAATCATTTTTCAAACTCTGTGAGGCGAGGCAAGGTGAAAGCGGCGTAGATCTCATCAGGCAGGCCGAGCATGTACTGTTGTGTTGGTCATCAACAACTCTAACTCAGTTATACGCCTAATCGTCAATAGTGCTCATCAATTATTTGGACACTAAAGGTAGCGGGTAGCGAGCGATCACTGTATTTTCTTTTTGCAAACATGAATATGCAGTCATGTACATTTACATACACTGTACATAAAAACATTCATAAGAACTTATTATATGCCTAGATTTTTTTAATGACAAAACTCTTACATATTTAATTTTAACTGTAATGTAGTCACTGGTCATTGTCGCATTTGAGCAGACACTAGTAACTGGATAAGTGTGATAGATAAATGTATGACATAATAAAAATTAACACTGTCAAGTTGTCAACATGGTCAAACCATGTCAAATAATTAATTTTGTTATTGTTTCACTGAACATAATAAATAATACATCAACTGCTGTCTTGTACATGTTGTTATTGTATTCGTGAATAAATATTTGTATTTGTTACCCAATATTAGTGACACATATCGTATTCGCCTCATAGTGTATATGTTGGAGTGCTAATAATAACTAATTGAGACAAAACTCTACTGAGACAAAGTTGGACAGGTCTGAAAAAAGCATCCAAGGACAAGTAGAATCACTGAGGCAAGAACTAAACTACAAGTGCCCGCATAAAAGCATAAAAGATGTTACTACATGTAGTTTGTTTAATGAAACTTATTACATGCATGGTATGTGGCTCTATGTCCCTTGCTTATAGAATGAATATCATTCTATGATGGTGAGAATTTCTAACTAGGTCCTAACTTCTGGTGTTAATAACAGTCAATCATATCATTTAGACTGAAATATATAACAAACATTGATCTGCTTCGAGTCAGATAAGCAGTCCATTATTGACCTAGCTAGTAGGCTATATTCTAGATCAGTGACCCACTGGCTTGGGGAATACTGACCCAGATTTGCTCTGTCTTTATGGTCCATATAATTTCAGTAAATATAAAACTGTGTATCTATTTCTGGGGGTTTGAATGCATGATATCAAAGCCCCACTGTGCATTGTTTCTTCAATATGAGGTATGTAAGCCTATAAATAGACCTTCAAATGACCCTTGGCCTGAACATGCTGAAGTCGCACATCCATCATGGATGCTTGTCAAGTAAAAGCATTCTGAACATGATTTACATCTAATAGAAATAGTTTTGACTCGAAATAAATAAAGTGTAAACTTGTTACATCACCTGATGAGTTTAAACTTTCTGAAGCTCTCGAATAAAAAGATTCTACACGCTGCACTTTCCTGCACAAACGTTGCATCAGATGTGTAACTAGATCCGATCTATTGACAGATGTAATAAAATAACTCAGCGCAGCCAACGGTTGTCTGAGACTCCAGTGTGCTAGTGTACATGCTACGTACACGCACATCTACCGAACAATGCATCTGCAGACCAAAAATGAAAACACATCTGTAACATTACACAACATTGACACACCATTCAGCGATATCGGTTCTACCGCTTCTCACGAAGAGCACGCTGATTATGTAGTTAGAGTGCATGTACATAAGTAGAGGACATATCCTACCAGCAGGTATAACAGCAAAAATCAAGCCCGTTGAAATAATGTTGTAGTCTGTTGGTCGCCATAACTAACAACGCCGCCTGTGGGCAGGCAGGCTTGAGTTATGTCCCTCTTCGGCGCGCGTACAGCAGTAAAGGGACGCATGGTTGATCAAGCCGAACCCGCTATAATCAAGGGCAAACGCAGTAATCAGTATTGCGTTGGTCCCCATGATTGTCGAATCAGGTGTTGTTATAGACAGTTGATTTCCATTTGAACTCAAGCATTGCTCTCAGAAGTTGTATGCAGAATTTTGGAAAGATTGAGAACGAACGTTCGCGCAATGTTGGAGTCGGGGAGACCTGTGCGAGTCTCAAAGATCCCCACATTTGAAACAAACTACATTCATTCAGGCTTACAGAAGCGCAATATCCGAGTTATCTTTTGAGATTTGGTTTATGAAGCTAACTATGATCTCTAATTGACTAACATTTACCCCCAAATAGGATATATCAGGGCAGTCTGTCTCATCCGGGTACTGCGGGGATGTTGAGCCGATGGGGGACCACCAAACAGATGTTGGACTCCTGCTATTAATCTGGGCCTGTATGCACAAATCTGTCGTTACGTTTCTGTCATTGAAGGTGTGTGCGAAATATTGGAGTTGAAATAGTCGTATCACTTCAATTGCTGTCAGGTTAGTATCAATCTGAGAAAGGAAAATATTTTTAAGAAAAATGGTTTAGCTAACTGAACGGAGTCCAGTGAATAATATAATTTCCCGAAGCTGAAAGAAATCCTGGACATTTGACAAACTATTACAGGCTGTTTGCTAGTTTCTGTTTCAGGATCCGTAAACCGACTACAGACTGTTGTCTGACCCAGCAAGGCTGTAGGCCCATATATAAAACCAGTGGTATATATATCTGTCAGACAAAACTAGTGGTCGATTGTGTATTAAAGTAACAAACGGCGCGTGGTCGGGGTATACAGTAATAACTTGTTTTATCTAATTAATTTTATCTTTACAGGATAAAATGGTTTATTTCAGTTCGGCAATCCTGGGATAGGTGACCCATCATTTAATTTGTGCACTATAGTATTTATGTTGCAGGCTAAGGGAGGTTACTCGGGTCTACAAGCTATAATTTTGCATTACAGGCCGGCTCCCATGAGATTATTCAGGTTATACATTAGTAGCATGGCAAAGGGAGATAACTGAAGTAAACCTTTAATGTGAAGGAATTCCCCTCTGCCTTTCGCTTTCGGGGGCCATTACAGGCAAACTGTTTTTCCCGTGTTCGTGCATATATTTTCGTGTTTCGCAGCATGTCAGGGAGAGGGAAGCCAATGAGAAAGCGGCCGACACGTGGGACAAGAGCGGCCACGAAGAAGAAACGCAAGGAACAGGCCCCTTCGCAGTCGTCACCGCCCGGCATGCCCGAAGCAGCGATGGGACAGCCAGATAACTTGGCGACAGCACGTGGACCCAGTCAAGTTCAAGCAGGCAGGTCAGCGCCTTTCCAGACTTCGTCAGGTGAAAACGCGAGTGGGTCAAGACCGACTGGGGGTGAGTTTGTTGACATATCCTTTAATCCAGAAGTTACAAACAATATTACGGAATTGGTTTCCTTACCCACTCAGCCGTTAAGTACACAAACACAGTCAGTCACTTCACACGCGCAGTCCCCATGTTTCCCTCCCATACTGTTTGCCGGGAGTGAGTTTACCCCTCCCACGACACAATGTGGTGATGATGATTTGGGAGCTAACGTTCCTTCGAGTATCAAGCAAAAGATATGTAATGGTGAATATATCAATCTTGCATTGCTGCTGAAATCTGACCGGGAATTACAAGATTATGCTTGTACATCAGCCATTTTCCTTAACTCGGAAGGTCATTTGGAACTGAAACCAAAGGCTTCAGGTAAAGTGATTGAAACCATAACTGATTGGGCAACTGCATTCACAGTGTATATTAGCATTTTTATCAAAAGTCACCCGGAACAGATACAAGGAATGCTCAAATACATGAACACAATTCGTCTGGGGGCATCTCGTCATACTGGGATTGGTTGGAGAACATATGATGAGCAGTTCAGACTGCGTCAAGCACGAAATCCACAGAATTCATGGGGGTCAATCAATGTAGAGCTTTGGATGTTATACATGCAAGTTCCGTCACAGAATTTTAGCTCGTTCCCCAGAAATGATAGCCAGTCATTTCATGTCCAGAACACAAACACAAACTCAACATGCCATGATTACAACTACAGGTATTGCAGTCGAGACAAGTGCAAGTTCAAACACACCTGCTCCAAATGTGGAGGGAATTCCCACCCTGCGTCTTACTGTTTGTCCAAAACACAATCTGGCAAATTTGTAAACACTAGCCAGGACCCCAATCAGAACCCAAGTGCTTCAGCTTCAGCTTCATAACAATCATCATGATCATATATCATGTACTTTTCAATTTTATGCATTCATGTTTATGTTATTTTCCTAATTACTTCATTTCATTCTAATCATGTCATTACCTGCTTTACCAATGTGTTTGGATATTGTATGTTGTATGAAAAATTGTTCATGCATTAATTAAGTCTTTTTTACAGATGTTTGGATTGTAGGCTCATCATTGTCTATTGGGCTCAGCGGCAGAGTTTCAGATTGAAATTAGGGAGGCATCTTGGCTTACATAAATTGGGGTTCACCTTAAGTTGGTTTGGCAAGAGAGGAATGCACTGGAGAGAGCTCAGACAGCTATTGTTTACCCAGCTTGAAAGGAAACCTCCTCCACGTGTCATGATTCTCCACTTAGGTACAAATTAGCTGGTAAGCTACCCTATTAGGAATTTAGTTTGCAGTGTCACAGAGGATGTCACATATTTTGCTAAGATACTTCCCTTCACAGTCTTTGTATGGTCTGAGTTACTTCCACGACAGTATGGGCATAGGGCAGCAAATTATAAATCGGTGGAGGCAGCCAGGAAGCGCTTGAATAGAGCAGGCATGAGTGCAGTGCTAAGGGTTGGAGGTGAGCCAAAAAGCATGGTATTCGGGCACAGGATTTGGGGATGTACAGGCATGATGGTGTCCATCTTTCAGATGTAGGGCTTTTCCATATTTGTCAATACCTACCAGGAGGCTTTGGAGTACTTCCTTCTGGATGACCGGTCAAAGGTGTTTACTGGCAATTAATGTTAAGTTTGTTTTTTTGTTGTTGTTTTTTTTGTTTTTTTTTGTTTTCTGTGCCAAGTATTGGAGGGTCTGTGTATAGACACAGTCCTGTGGCGTAATACTTGCGGGTTGGGCATAGTAATTTCCGGAGGCCTTCGATGAGCGCTACCCGCGAGGGCCTAGCTTGCTTAATGACACGCTGGTTGACCTCCTTTGGTGTACCCTGGGGGGATCAAAGTCATTTTGCCTTTTGATGACTCGTTATGTGTTTATCCTCTCGAGTCGCGCTTTCTGTTTGTCCTATTGCCTTCGGGCCGGCATTCAGTGATTTTGGTTCGCCCAACCTGCAGGGTTATGCAAAATATCATCCCCCTGTAATTTCATGAATAAAGCCGTGGCCATACTCCACACTTAACTTACATAATCTTTTGGTTATTTATTCATCTAGTATGCTCTAGATTGACATTATCTTGAAATAATTAATTTTATCTTTACAGGATAAAATGGTTTATTTCAGTTCGGCAATCCTGGGATAGGTGACCCATCATTTAATTTGTGCACTATAGTATTTATGTTGCAGGCTAAGGGAGGTTACTCGGGTCTACAAGCTATAATTTTGCATTACAGGCCGGCTCCCATGAGATTATTCAGGTTATACATTAGTAGCATGGCAAAGGGAGATAACTGAAGTAAACCTTTAATGTGAAGGAATTCCCCTCTGCCTTTCGCTTTCGGGGGCCATTACAGGCAAACTGTTTTTCCCCCTCCCGATACCCACCCTTATTATAGCTTAAAAGTTTATATTTATATTGCAGACATGTCATGAGCTACATGATTAAAGTATATACCTTATGAAGGTTAGTAAGTTACAATTTCTGCCTAGAAATTTTGCTGTTTCAGGTTGTTGTGGATGATCACAGGGGTACCAAGCCAAATTTCAGTTCTGCTTCAGTCACGGCAGCAGGACTCCATTCAGTCACCGAGGTGAGGTTCATCCAACGCCATGTGTGACATCGCGGCGTAATACTTGCGGGTTGGGCATAGTAATTTCCGGAGGCCTTCGATGAGCGCTACCCGCGAGGGCCTAGCTTGCTTAATGACACGCTGGTTGACCTCCTTTGGTGTACCCTGGGGGGATCAAAGTCATTTTGCCTTTTGATGACTCGTTATGTGTTTATCCTCTCGAGTCGCGCTTTCTGTTTGTCCTATTGCCTTCGGGCCGGCATTCAGTGATTTTGGTTCGCCCAACCTGCAGGGTTATGCAAAATATCATCCCCCTGTAATTTCATGAATAAAGCCGTGGCCATACTCCACACTTAACTTACATAATCTTTTGGTTATTTATTCATCTAGTATGCTCTAGATTGACATTATCTTGAAATAATAGCATGTTTTATCTGGCAGACAGTATGCAAGAGAAAGAGTGTCTTGGCGAAAATATTATTTTAACGAACACATGCATTCGATGTCTTTCTCCGACATAAATACTTCAACTGTTACGGGAATCATGCGCAAGAACGTAACCTATGACCCCTTTGTTTCAATGAGGTCAACCGCGTATACATGCCGTAAGGTTGCCACGCGGAGACTTTTGACACTTTTGTATGTGGGGTTGTTTGGTTGTTCAGAGTGTATTATTACGGGAAAAACACACACTTAATTAGAACACTGGGATGACGTCACAAGAATGATTGTGGTTAGATGAAGAACTATACCAGTGAATCCTAAACCACCGTTCGTCTTTGTAAAAATGTGAAAATCGAATTTAGCTTGACGTCACACTGAGCAACATATTATGTCACAGTGGACTCCAAACAATAGAGACTTGACCACTGGCAAAATAGTGGTCGATATCAAGGGCAATAATCCATGGGATTTACAGTAGTTTTATATACACTAGGGCCTTGAAGTCGAGACTTGCACACGCATATATAATGCATTG